CAGTCACTTACTAATCTGAACTCTTATGTTCTTTTAGAATGCTGACTTCATTTCCCTGCACACACGTTTGTTGTTGATGGAACAATCTATAAACTCATGGGATACAAATATCCGCAAAAAGAAGGAGAAGAAATCACTGATTCCCCAGGCACATCTTTAGAGGGGGAGCTGGTAGCAAAGCCAATATTTAGGTTGCCCCCCACTTTCTGTTATAACAATTTCTTGTGACCTTTTCCTTGAGAGGCTCTCACACCACCGTTGTTCAGAGTGAGCCTTTAATATTCAGCAGGGGGCGAACGCTCAGGCTAGAGAAGAGCCTTGGCTCTGTCCCATGACATTCTGGTTGCTATGATGGTGCATCTTAACAGTTTCTATTTCCCGTCTCTCTCTTTCCTCAGGATAGCAGAGGCAGCAGCCAGAGTAGCTGAACCCTGGGCTGAGGTGGAACTGGCAAGCTGTTTCTCTGGAAGCAGTGAATCTGTGAATACTGCAATTGTCCGGTGAACCGGGGCTGGACCCTCCAGGGAGCTGCTCGCCGAGTTTGAGGGCCTATTGCTAACCAGCAGTGAGAGCAGGGCCTGCGTAGGCTGACAGGGCAGTGCTTGCGTTGCCAGGGGGTTGGGAAGCTGACCTCTGGCTGACACAGACACAACTGCCTCACCCTAAGGGCAGGCGGTAGGTGGGTACCCCCAGGAAGCATCACCGCACTGATATTTAGGTTGCCTGGCCCTTTCCTTTACTTTAACAGCTTCTTGTGACCTTTCCTTTGAGAGGCTCTCACACCACCATTGTTTGCAGTAGGCCTTTAATATTCATCAGGGGGTGAGGGCTTCAGCTCAAGAGGAGCTTTCTCTCTGTCCTATGCCATTCTGGTTGCTCTGATAGAAAGAGTTAAGATGCACCATTTCCCTTCTCTCACTTTCTTTCCTCAGGAGAGGAGAGGTAGCAGTCAGAGTAGCCAAATACCCCACCACACCAAGGCTGGGCTCACACTGCCACCCCCCACACAGTACTCGGGAAATCCAGGAGCTGCCAGAGCCCATGTAGAGGTAGGAGCGGTGGAAGAAGAGGCTGCGAGAGCAAGGCTGGCTCAGGAACATCACAGGGCTGGAGCAGCTCTACCTCCCCAAGAGAGCAAGCTTGACCCAACCCCCCACCTCCCCATTGGATCCAGCATATGGCCCAAGCAATCCATCCCACCTCTAGGGACACCATGGGGTGGGTGCGGGCTGGAGCCCCTACTTCTGGTCAGAGGGGAGAAGAGACATCTAGGTCAAGTCAGGCTCCCCACAACCATCACCCCAGACCCAGCAGCACCTCCATGGCTGGGATCTTAAACAACTTCTGCTTTCAGCTACTGTTGAGAGACAAGGGTGGGAAGGGAATATCTTTTATTGAACCACTTTCTGTTGGGGGGAAGAGAAGCTTTCAAGCTTACACAAAGCTCTCCTTCAAGTACGTTCTGTGTAAGCTCAAAAACTTGTCTCTCTGCTATCCTGGGACCAACAGCATCCAGCTAATGTAGCTAGTCTTGTAGCAGGCTGGGCTGAAGGTTAAGGGATCAAATGCTGCAGGCAATACTGGGGGTAGGTACAGTTGTACAAAACAAACATTTTATTTCAAAGGACCCCAGGGCCCCAGCAGGGCAGACTGAAGACCAACAAATCTGGCCTTTCTTAACCTTTCAAGAGACTGAGTTTTTAACTTAAATGTTCTTTCATGTAGTTGGGGGCTGTGTATTTTCCTACTGAACATGTAAATGATTACAAAAAGCAAAGGTTCTCAGATCAAGTACAGCTCCCACCACTGGCTGCTTTGGGAATAGGTTTGGTTTTGAAATAAAAGTGCACTGAACTTGGTTGATTGGCAGTATTGCAGTGCCCCCTCCTGAATAGAATCAGAGCTACTCATCTCATGTCGTGATGCCTTTCTCAAAGATTGTCCTTCCACTCAATTGTTGATCCTGTATGTTTGGAACCAGAAGATTAATTTTAGGTGAAGTCTTCCATTCAGACAGCTACCTTGATGGTAGGAGACTGTGCATGAATGGCCACCGTATGAGATTCCCTCAGGGGGAGGGAAGATGACAGGGACACTTCTCTCAATTAGGTGAGCTGCTTGTGATCAGTCGAGCGTAACCTGATTATAGCGAGGATCTTCTAACACCTTACAAACCACCATTACTCCACCCCATGTTAGATAAGCTGGTTTTTTTTTTTTAAAAGAAGGACCCAAACCAAGCTAGCTAGTGCGCAGACAAGGGAGATCCTTGTGCTGAAGAACTTTAGGGCAGTTTAAGACGTTGAGCCTAATCTTCAAAACAATGGATCCAGCCCCAGCCACATTAAAGACCAAATGTCAATCTCTGAACCACCACAAAAGCTGCGCTCTTCTGGAACAATGCAGGTCACAACACAGAATGAAGCATGAGAGCTGGGACAAAACATTCTCTGCCCGAGGGATCCAGCTAGGGAACAGTCTCCCAGAGAAGATTAGGTGAATCAAGACTAACTGCCTCGATGGAACATTGTAAAGAGAAGGCCTTTCCATCATAAGAATGACATAACAGTAACTCCAGTCAAGCAGGAGTTACTCTGAAACAAACTAGCCAAAACACAGAGTAAATTAATAAAAATCTTAAAAAAAAATTCAAACCACCTCCTACACTTAGAGTTTTGACCCCCAAAAGGGAGGAGAGCCAGAGACTCCAAGAAGTTCACTAGTAGCTTTGCTACTGAGTTTAGGAGGAAGGTGCTCAGATACTATGGTGATGGGCAGTAGTAATATAAAGCCCTGAGACCGATATAAAAATTCTAATTACACAGAGAGGAGAGAAATGGAACAGCACAACCTTCCCCCTCCCTGTACACAACTACTTCAGCATTTTAAAACAACTTTGCCCCGTCTTTTTAACCCTCCACCTCCTAGACTAGGTTCTGGGGGTTAAACTTTGAGCTATTGGCTCCTTGTGCATTACAGACACTTGCCAGCTATTTCCATTCCAACTCCACATCTCACCCTCCCTCTGCTTTGCACAGTAAAGCCACCACCCACTCCCTCCCCTCTGGGGTTAACAGCAGGCACTGGCTGCTGAATAAGGAGGCAGCAGGATGAAGTTCTTGAGCCTCGGAAGGGGTGTGCACCTGCTGCTGCTCAACTCCCTACCCAGAGGATCTCTGAGCCAGCCGCAGAGGTACTAGGGGCCAAGACCTCCAAAGCATCTGGTCCTCCACTGGGAGCTCCTTCTCCTTTTATAAGTCAGCCCCATGAGGGGCTGGTCTGGCAGGAGTCAGTGTTAAAACTGAGATAAGGAAACTGGGGCACAGACTAATGCTTGGTAAACCCCTCACATCCAAGTTATGGCTGAGTGAGGAATGGAGCCCAGGAGTACAGGCCCCCGGGGCCCCCGCTGGGCATTGAGGTACACTCCCCTCTCCAAGCCACATACAACTTGAGTCCCTGCCCATTCTAGTAGCCGCCTAGTGCACGAGCAGAACTCCCTCACAGGAGGATTTTGGAGCTGGGGAGCTTCCATACCAAGCTGCAAACCATCACTTCCCCGGGAGGAGCGAAGCAGTGAGAGTCTTACACATTCCTCAAGCAGCAGCAGGGGAGCCCCATGACATGTCTGCCATGGCCTGCCTTGTCTCCCCACCACATTGCTACATACGACGTGAGTGAGGAGGGACACTTCCCCACTAGAGACATGCCTGAGCACTCAGCCACAGCTTCAAGACCTGACTCAGCTACCCTTCTTTGTGCACTCGGCATTGGCCTTTCCCTGCTAGGAGCAGCACCAAGCAGTTCCTTCCCTCTGTGCTGTCACAAACAGTATTTCTCATGTTCCTTTCCCTGTCATTCTCCGCTGAGAATGTGTTTTGCTGTGGTATCACCCCCTTCACTGCTGACTCTGGCAGTCCGGGCGCCTGGCAGGGGCCTTCCTTGCAGGTACTTGCAGCAGCCCAGGCACAAGGGGGCAGGGTATTGTTTTCAGGTTCAGGGAGTCACCTCTGATTAGCCAGCAAAATTCCACTGCCCTCCCCACTTCTCACATTCCTTCTTACGCCAGGTCTCTCCTTCAACCTCAGCTGGTGCAAGCTTCCTTTTGGCAACACCCGGAACTGGTCCAGTAACCTCCTTTGGATTCTTGCACTCTTGGCAGCCTTACCTCAGATGCAAGCAGTAGCATCCCCGGCTCAGCTGCTGCCTTGCACTGCACGCCTGGCACCACAGTGTCCAATTCAGCCTGACCAGTGGTTAAGAAAGTAATACGGCAATCACCTTGGAGATGGAGACTGTACCAGCACTGAGTTGGACAGGCTTGGGAGCCATTCCACTCCCTTGGTAGAGGCCACCTAATTGTCACTTGTATTCCAGTCGCACCTAGAAGGCCCAGTCATGCCCCTTTGTTCAGGGTGCTGCACAAACATGTAGTGAGAGACAGTCCCTACCCCACAGAGCTCATTGTCTAAAACAGTAGTTCTCAACCCTTGGCCCAATCAGCACACAGCTGCGGTGCATGTGGCTCTCAGGGCCATACAGATAGTATGTATGGATGTGGCCCACATAACAGAGCTGCATATGCAGCCCACAATGGTAAAAGGATGAGAACCACTGATCTAAAGAGACATGACGACAAAGTTGGGGGGTGAGGGGGAGAGACGGGGACTGGAACCCGAAAGGTAATATGACTTACCAAGATCACCCAGCCAGTCAGTGCAGAGACAGGATTACAACCCAGGTCTGAGCCCTGGTCTACACTAGGACTTTAGGTCGAATTTAGCAGCATTAAATTGATGTAAACCTGCACCCATCCACACGATGAAGCCCTTTATTTCGACTTAAAGGGCTCTTAAAATCGATTTCCTTACTCCACCCCTGACAAGTGGATTAGCGCTTAAATCGGCCTTGCCAGCTCGAATTTGGGGTACTGTGGACACAATCGATGGTATTGGCCTCCGGGAGCTATCCCAGAGTGCTCCATTGTGACCGCTCTGGACAGCACTCTCAACTCAGATGCACTGGCCAGGTAGACAGGAAAAGAACCGCGAACTTTTAAATCTCATTTCCTGTTTGGCCAGCGTGGCAAGCTGCAGGTGACCATGCAGAACTCATCAGCACAGGTGACCATGATGGAGTCCCAGAATCGCAAAAGAGCTCCAGCATGGACCGAACGGGAGGTACAGGATCTGATCGCTGTTTGGGGAGAGGAATCCGTGCTATTAGAACTCCGTTCCAGTTTTCGAAATGCCAAAACCTTTGTCAAAATCTCCCAGGGCATGAAGGACAGAGGCCATAACAGGGACCCGAAGCAGTGCCGTGTGAAACTGAAGGAGCTGAGGCAAGCCTACCAGAAAACCAGAGAGGCGAACGGCCGCTCCGGGTCAGAGCCCCAAACATGCCGCTTCTATGATGAGCTGCATGCCATTTTAGGGGGTTCAGCCACCACTACCCCAGCTGTGTTGTTTGACTCCTTCAATGGAGATGGAGGCAATACGGAAGCAGGTTTTGGGGACGAAGAAGATGATGATGATGAGGTTGTAGCTAGCTCACAGCAAGCAAGCGGAGAAACCGGTTTTCCCGACAGCCAGGAACTGTTTCTCACCCTGGACCTGGAGCCAGTACCCCCCGAACCCACCCAAGGCTGCCTCCTGGACCCAGCAGGCGGAGAAGGGACCTCTGGTGAGTGTACCTTTTAAAATACTATACATGGTTTAAAAGCAAGCATGTGAAAGGATTACTTTGCCCTGGCATTCGCGGTTCTCCTAGATGTACTCCTAAAGCCTTTGCAAAAGGTTTCTGGGGAGGGCAGCCTTATTGCGTCCTTCATGGTAGGACACTTTACCACTCCAGGCCAGTAACATGTACTTGGGAATCATTGTACAACAAAGCATTGCAGTGTATGTTTGCTGGCATTCAAACAACATCTGTTCTTTATCTCTCTGTGTTATCCTCAGGAGACTGAGATATAATTCATGGTCACCTGGTTGAAATAGAGTGCTTTTCTTCAGGGGACACTTAGAGGAGCCCCTTCCTGCTGGGCTGTTTGCCTGTGGCTAACCAGAAATGTTCCCTGCTGTTAGCCACAGGGAGGGGGGAAGGTTGAGGGGGTAGCCACGCAGTGGGGGGAGGCAAAATGCGACCTTGTAACGAAAGCACATGTGCTATGTATGTAATGTTAACAGCAAGGTTTACCCTGAAAGAGTGTAGCCACTGTTTTATAAAATGTGTCTTTTTAAATACTGCTGTCCCTTTTTTTTTCTCCACCAGCTGCATGTGTTTCAATGATCACAGGATCTTCTCCTTCCCAGAGGCTAGTGAAGCTTAGAAAGAAAAAAAAAAACGCACTCGCGATGAAATGTTCTCCAAGCTCATGCTGTCCTCCCACACTGACAGAGCACAGACGAATGCGTGGAGGCAAATAATGTGAGAGTGCAGAAAAGCACAAAATGACCGGGAGGAGAGGTGGCGGGCTGAAGAGAGGGCTGAAGCTCAAATGTGGCAGCAGCCTGATGAGAGGAGGCAGGATTCAATGCTGAGGCTGCTGGAGGACCAAACCAGTATGCTCCAGTGCATGGTTGAGCTGCAGCAAAGGCAGCTGGAGCACAGACTGCCACTACAGCCCCTGTGTAACCAACCGCCCTCCTCTCCAAGTTCCATAGCCTCCAAACCCAGACACCCCAGAAGGCGGTGGGGGGGCCTCCGGCCAACCAGCCACTCCACCACAGAGGATTGCCCAAAAAAAAGAAGGCTGTCATTCAATAAATTTTAAAGTTGTAAACTTTTAAAGTGCTGTGCTTAAAGTGCTGTGTGGCATTTTCCTTCCCTCCTCCACCACCCCTCCTGGGCTACCTTGGTAGTCATCCCCCTATTTGTGTGATGAATGAATAAAGAATGCATGAATGTGAAGCAACAATGACTTTATTGCCTCTGCAAGCGGTGATTGAAGGGAGGAGAGGCGGGTGGTTAGCTTACAGGGAAGTAGAGTGAACCAAGGGGCGGGGGGTTTCATCAAGGAGAAACAAACAGAACTTTCACACCGTAGCCTGGCCAGTCATGAAACTGGTTTTCAAAGCTTCTCTGATGCATACCGCGCCCTCCTGTGCTCTTCTAACCGCCCTGGTGTCTGGCTGCGCGTAACCAGCAGCCAGGCGATTTGCCTCAACCTCCTACCCTGCCATAAACGTCTCCCCCTTACTCTCACAGATATTGTGGAGCACACAGCAAGCAGTAATAACAGTGGGAATATTGGTTTCGCTGAGGTCTAAGCGAGTCAGTAAACTGCGCCAGCGCGCCTTTAAACATCCAAATGCACATTCTACCACCATTCTGCACTTGCTCAGCCTGTAGTTGAACAGCTCCTGACTACTATCCAGGCTGCCTGTGTACGGCTTCATGAGCCATGGCATTAAGGGGTAGGCTGGGTCCCCAAGGATACATATAGGCATTTCAACATCCCCAACAGTTATTTTCTGGTCTGGGAATAAAGTCCCTTCCTGCAGCTTTTGAAACAGACCAGAGTTCCTGAAGATGCGAGCGTCATGTACCTTTCCCGGCCATCCCACGTTGTGTTGGTGAAACGTCCCTTGTGATCCACCAGAGCTTGCAGCACTATCGAAAAGCACCCCTTGCGGTTTATGTACTCGGCGGCTTGGTGCTCCGGTGCCAAGATAGGGATATGGGTTCCGTCTATGGCCCCACCACAGTTAGGGAATCCCATTGCAGCAAAGCCATCCACTATGACCTGCACATTTCCCAGGGTCACTACCCTTGATATCAGCAGATCTTTGATTGCGTGGGCTACTTGCATCACAGCAGCCCCCACAGTAGATTTGCCCACTCCAAATTGATTCCCGACTGACCGGTAGCTGTCTGGCGTTGCAAGCTTCCACAGGGCTATCGCCACTCGCTTCTCAACTGTGAGGGCTGCTCTCATCTTGGTATTCATGCGCCTCAGGGCAGGGGAAAGCAAGTCACAAAGTTCCATGAAAGTGCCCTTACGCATGCGAAAGTTTCGCAGCCACTGGGAATCGTCCCAGACCTGCAACACTATGTGGTCCCACCAGTCTGTGCTTGTTTCCCGAGCCCAGAATCGGCGTTCCACCACATGAACCTGCCCCATTAGCACCATGATGCATGCATTGGCAGGGCCCATGCTTTCAGAGAAATCTGTGTCCATGTCCTGATCACTCACGTGACCGCGCTGACGTCGCCTCCTCGCCCGGTATTGCTCTGCATGGTTCTGGTGCTGCATATACTGCTGGATAATGCGTGTGGTGTTTAATGAGCTCCTAATTGCCAAAGTGAGCTGAGCGGCCTCCATGCTTGCCTTGGTATGGCGTCCGCACAGAAAAAGGGCACGGAATGATTGTCTGCCGTTGCTCTGACAGAGGGAGGGGCTTCTGACGACACGGCTTATATGGTTGGCTTCAGGGAGCTAAAATCAACAAAGGGGGTGTCTTTACATCAAGGAGTATTTCAGGCAGGACTTCATGGAGGGTTCCAATAAGAAATGGTGCACCTAAGTTATAGTTCTTATTGGAACAAGGAGGTTAGCCTGGCCTCTGATTGATACATGGCTAGATTTACCTCGCTGCACCTTCTCTGTGAGTGACTGCAGTGTGACCTAGAGGAATGAGTCCCCTAGACAGGGGAGGCAAATGAGTACAAAACAAATCTGGTCTATTTCTTGTTTTGATCCACTCCATCTATCTTTTACATCTTTGGCTGGCAGCAGATGGTGCAGAAGGACTGCATGCCATCCTCATCTCTTGCCTGCCCAGCAGAAGATGGTACAGTACGACTGCTAGCCATCCTCATCTCTTGCCTGCCCGGCAGAAGATGGTACAGTACGACTGCTAGCAATCCATATCGCCTGCCTGCTCACCATAAGATGGTTCAAGAGGACTGACTGCAGGACTAAAGAGAATGACCTGGTCAAGTCACTCCAAATTTAGTCCCTGCGCCCATGTCTGCCCAGGCGCTCCCAGCCGACGTGGCCAGGAGCACCTCGGACATGACGAGGACGACTACCAGTCATACTGCACCGTCTGCTGCCAGAAGGCAATAGGTTGCTGCTACTGTGTAGCAAAGCCGTACCGCGTCTTCCAGCACCCAGGAGACATACGGTGACGGTTACCTGAGCGGGCTCCATGCTTGCCGTGGTATGGCGTCTGCACAGGTAACTCAGGAAAAAAGGCGCGAAACGATTGTCTGCCCTTGCTTTCACGGAGGGAGGGAGGCTTGACGATATGTACCCAGAACCACCCGCAACAATGTTTTAGCCCCATCAGGCACTGGGATCTCAACCCAGAATTCCAATGGGCAGCGGAGACTGCGGGAACTGTGGGATAGCTATCCACAGTGCAACGCTCTGGAAGTCGACTCTAGCCTTGGTACTGTGGAAGCACTCTGCCGAGTTAATGCACTTAATGCACTTAGAGCATTTTCTGTGGGCGCACACACACTCGAATATATAAAACCGATTTCTAAAAAACCAACTTCTATAAATTCGACCTTATTCCGTAGTGTAGACATACCCTGAGTCTTGATCCAGTGGTCTAGTCCCAGGCTCCAGAATTTCAACTTTCATTATAAAATTAAGTTCATGGTTGTGAAGGAAACTTTCAATCTGTGACCCACATATAACTTGTGTAGTGCCATCTGCCTGAGTCTGCAAACAGCCTGCGACAGTAAGTTTGGGACACATCTGAACTGCTTCTACTCAGCTCCCTGGATAGCTGTCTCTGAAGCCTAATGATCACCTTTAAACTGCCAGCATCATTAACTAATTCCCAGTTGATCAGAGCATGCAGGTAGTGAGGAGGGACTATCCCATTAGGATGACAGGAAACCTGAGAGTGGCAGCTCATTGTTGTGTCCAGAGTAGATGGGGCATGGGAGTTTTCCATCACTGATTGTTCTCCAGGCTGACCCCAAACAGACCACTCAACATAAGCTGGCATTCTGTGCGCCTGCCTCGGTGCTGCATCCGAGAGAGAGGAGTTAGATCGGTCATTTGCAGAGCCTGGAGCTCGGGCAGCCAGTCTATCCACATGCCCCACTCCATGCCGACACACAAAACTGTTGCGGTTTGGCCCAGGAAGGTTCTCTGTGGGGGCTGCACACACCAGAGCTGTGCCCAAACAGAGAAGGTGTGTGACGGAGCAGCTGCTGAGGAGCCATGTGCCAGGAGCTTGGTGGGAGCATGTGGTCTCTTGGCTGCACTTCCATGCCCTGTGACTCCAACTCCTTGTTCACAGAACCCTGGGGGCTTGCCCAAGCTGGAGACTTCACATACCGAGGCCAAGGGGTCTTGTTAATCGCCTTTATTTTAGCGAGTGCTGTACACAGTCAACCTCAATTGCCCGCCACCAGGTGCTCCCCGTGCCCACTGTACAGATCTGCCTTGTGCCCGCTGTGCTCCAGTGCTTGCCTCTGCGGGGCGAGGCCCAAATAAGTTACCCGTGTCCCTTGTGCTGTGCCCCCAGACACCAGCGCTGGAGAGGGCTGTGATCAGACCCTGAGTCTCGCTCCTCCCGGTGCTGGGGCAAAAAACACGAAGTCCCCTTGTGCCGGGGATAGTGTCTGATTTGGAAACAAAGTCACAAGGTGATGTCCCCTGCTTGTGCGTCTCAGAAAAGATGGGCACTGCTGCCCAGGAAGCTGGTCTCATCCACTTCCCAGGGCTGGGAGGTCTCAGCATGGCATGGCAGCCTCCGAGGGCAGAGGGGAGCACCTGCAGGGCAAGACCAGCCTATTAGGAATGGGCTAATGCACCAGCTGGGATATGGCCCCTGCAGGCCCCATGCTCTAATGCCCACTGTTCTGGGTTGGCAGCATTCAGGGGCTGTTCTCGCTTCATCCCCAGCTAATGTTACTGTAACAGACCACCTGCCACCGGGGAGTCATTTCCCCTTTCCCTGGCCCAGACCACGTCTGGTACAGGACAGAGCTATGCTGCTACAAGGGCCTCTTGCTTGGTACCATCAGCATGTGTTATAAGAACATGCCTGGCCCCTCTGCATGTGACGACTCCCTCGCAGCAGATGCCAGGCAGCCCCCAGCAGGGAAGACAGACAACAAACCAGTCACTTGAAATGACTGGACCAAGGAGCTGCCCTGGTGTAGGAGGAGCCAGGATGTCCCAGGGCACCGGGATGGCTGTGTAATGCTGACAGCCTGGCCAAGCCACAAGCCACTCACAGGGCCCCAAAAGGCTCCTGGGCTGGGCCAATGCTTGCCCACCCCTCACATTCCTGCTACCACGCTGGGAGGTTACTGGGCAGCCTGAACGGGCAAAGCTCAGACAGCCACAATACCAGGCACCTTCCAGAGGATCCAGGCCCAACAGGCCTGAAGGCCCAGCTAGCAGAGTTACCCTTCATCTCTTTCCCACTTCGGAAGGACTCTGCCTGGCTTGTGTTCCTGACAGGAGAGCTACACCCCTTCCTGCCTCAACAGCCCAGGGGAAGCCAGTGACTGCCCCAGGCAGCTCTGGCACGCCTTCTGTGGGCAGCCATGGGCGCTGGTCAGCACGACAGCTACTACAGCCTGGCCACAGCCAGTGCCCCAGGAGCCCCGCAGCGCAGCACAGGAGACCAGCACTCACTCCATCTTGGCCTCCAGGTGGTGGATGGTCTGCTTGTCCAGGTAGCGGCAGAACAAAGATAGGAGGTTGCTGGGGAGGAAGAGAGGCTCCACCAGGGCGGTCTTGGGCACTTGGGACAGCTCCCTGGCAACCAGGAACACAGTGTCCGTCCTGGGGAGACAAACCCACCAGTGAGTGCCTGGCTGCCCCCCCACCCTGCCCCCCGGTGCTAGTCAACACGGCATGCTGTGTGCTACCCAGAGACCCTTCCCCACAGGGCGCTGCCTGGGCCAAATCCCTCCCTGTGACCCCTCACCACTTCTCGAAGTCCCCGCTGTGTGGCTCCAGTGGCATGTCGGAGGAGAGCAGCCTCTCGCCGTGACTCAGCAGGGCGTACAGGAGCGAGATCCCAAACTGTGGGGAAGCACAGGAGTGGCCATGGGTTAGAAACGGCAGCCACAGCCAGGCCAGGCCCAGCCCGAGGAGGGAGTGTGCCCTCCGCAGGGCCCAGTACCCACCCCAGAGTGCCTGGAGAGGGGTGCAGAATCTCATCCTCCAGGACAGCGCTGAGCTCACTGGCTTCCCCTCCCAGAGGCCCTTCTGGACCCCGCTTCCTGCCCTACCCAGCCCCACACACCTGATTCTTAAAGGTCATGGTGAGCGGCAGCTCGGTGGAGCCAGCCAGCGGCCTGGTCAGCTCCTGCAGGACCTCGATGAGCTCGCTGAAGGTCATCCGGCCCACCATCTCGCTGAGGGGGCCATACAGGACAGGCAGGGACTAAACACCAGCATGGGGAGAGGGGAGACAGCAAGGTTAAAGCCAGCCCCCAGACCTAACACCATACAGGTGGGCTCAACCCCTACTCCCTACAGGGGACACTGGGGAGTGCTATCGAGTGCTCCCCGGGGCCAGGAGACCTGCCCCTCCCAACTGAAACAGGAAAGTGCATGTGGGCGGCTGCAGGTGTAAACAAAATGCCCCCCTCCCAGCCCAGAAGCAGGGCCCACACACCACAGATCCTCCAGCCATAGGCCTGGGACCAGGGCAGGATTGCACCCTACAGTCTATTCCCCGGACCAGTCGAACAAGGGACCCGCCAGCACCGCAATCTGCAGACTAGGCCACAGCCTGGCCATGCCCAGCCAGGACTTTCCCTGCAGCCCTGGCTACATCCCCACTTTCCCAGCTTCTCCCCATTGCCCTAGTTATAACCCTGTATCCCTCACCCATGCCAGGCACTTGGATCCCAGCCTTAGACACACTGCCCAGGCAGACCCTTCTGCCTCATGCCAACCCTCTCTCATTCCCCAGTTTCCTACAATGGTCGAGGCCTTCTCCTGAGCTCCCTCCAGTTCATCAGTACCTGGTGCCTGCAGAATGGCCCCTCTAGGATCTAGGGCCCAGTTTGGATTGCATGCGGAGGGCAAATTCCCTGCTCTGCTCCAGGGGAGTGACATGGGGGAGGGGGAAGTGGTGCCCCAACCTGGGGCCAGCCTCTCCCTATCCACAGCAGGCCATTACCTCATCCAGCACGTCCTTCCTCATGAGGAAAGGCAGGTGGCGGGTGACAGTGACCAGGATCTTCTCTGCCTGCTCCCGTGCCAGGTGCGGCAGCAGCCGCGCGGTCAGTTTCTTCCCCTTCCGCACACATAGGACCTGCAGGAACTCGTCTTCCGCCTCCCTGTGGGAGATCCCTGAGCTGCCCAGACCCCACAGGACCCAGCACCCTCCCATCTACCCTTACTCCACTGGCAGCGGGAAGTGCTGCCAGGAAAGTGGGGACCTGGGGTTACAGGCACAGGCCTGTGCCTCCAGCAGGGGAGTTTCAACAGGATCCTGCATGGCTTGGATGTGGGAAGGAAGTAGCCGCCAGGAGAAGGCAGCACAGGGCCCCAGTGTCTAGCAGGGGATCTGGCTCCCATCAGGTGGGTAGCTGGCTTAGCCCCAGAGTGTTTGATGTGGCACAGCCGGATGTGGAGCACTGAGTTTGCAGACAGGAATGTATCTGATTCCCAAACTCACCAGTGCCAGGTGACAGGGAACAGGGCGTTCCCATCTGGCCCAAGAGATCTGCTGTTCTAACAACATCTCCTTGGGTGAGGGGCGTACTTCGCCATGGGGCTGGTACCTGCCACCCTCCCCAGATGGCCCCTCTGCCCCCTTCCCCAGGGCCAGCTGTGCACAGAGACGGTGCACAAATGTGCACCAGCAAACTCACTCCTCACTGTCGCATGCCCTGATCTTCAGGGCCTGGTAGATGCGACCCACTTCATGGCTCTTCTTCTCATGGAAACGAGGGTGCTGCTCTTCAGGGAGCAGGCTCATCTTTCGCTGAGTCTCCTCCACTTCCAGCAGCTGCAGGAACATCTGGGGAAGCAGGAGAGAAGCTAGTAGGTGGGTGGGAGGGAGGAGGAATAATGAGATCCCATATGAGCCCCAGTAGATATGAAGGGGGGAGGAATAATGAGATCCCATATGAGCCTCTCTGGATAGACAGTAGCCCTACACTCTATATTCCTCCCCCAGCACTCGGCCTGTGACAAGGAGCCTGGCTGTGAGACACAAGAAGCTAGGACATCCCAAGAGATCCCAGCCACAGCTCCTACGTACAACAGAGACTGCCCATTGGAGTTGGGGAGGGACCTGCGACCCTCAGGTAAGTCTCACCCCACCCTCACTGCAGGGATCCAGGACCTCCATCAGCCAGGGGTGCTCACTCAGCCACTTGGGTCTCCTGGACTAGCTCTAATACATAGGTTTCAGAGTAACAGCCGTGTTAGTCTGTATTCGCAAAAAGAAAAGGAGTACTTGTGGCACCTTAGAGACTAACCAATTTATTTGAGCATAAGCTTTCGTGAGCTACAGCTCACTTCATCGGATGCATACTGTGGAAACTGCAGAAGACATTATATACACAGAGACCATGAAACAATACCTCCTCCCATCCCACTCTCCTGCTGGTAATAGCTTCACTTTAGATAAGCTATTACCAGCAGGAGAGTGGGATGGGAGGAGGTATTGTTTCATGGTCTCTGTGTATATAATGTCTTCTGCAGTTTCCACAGTATGCATCCGATGAAGTGAGCTGTAGCTCACGAAAGCTTATGCTCAAATAAATTGGTTAGTCTCTAAGGTGCCACAAGTACTCCTTTTCTTTTTTCTCTAATACATAGCTTCTTATGGACTTGTGAACTCTGCAGGGGACTCAGAGAAGCCAGAGATCCACTGTCCACAGCCACTAACATACTGACTATCTGACCTTCTTCAGAATAGCCCCGTGCCCTAAGCTCAAGGCGGCAGATGAATATGGCAGAGCAGGCATGTCTGCACCAAAGCCACATGCAAGCTGGGACCTTCCACAGAACATCCCCTGGCTTTGCCCTGAGATGCTGTCGGACTCGTCTCTCAAAACCCTCCCCACAAGCATCTCTGCCCTGAGATGCTGGACAAGCCAAGTTGCAGGCCACACAGGGCTTGCAGAAGTTGAAAGGAGCCGATATCCAGCTTCTAATGAACCCGCCTTCCACCGCTGCCATTCCCCTGCCCTTGCTCCCCCCAGCACATCAGCTGAGGGGAAACGTCTTGCCCTGAAGGCATGGCGGTGCCCAAGGCGCCCTCTCACCTTCTCGATTCTGTGCAGTGCCCGAAGTCGCTGGTTCCCCGCAGCCTTCAGATCCAGAGGGGAGAAGGGAAGACAACCAGTTACAGCCACTGCAAGACACAGCAGTCTCCAGGCCACAGTTCTCTGCTCAAGCTACTACTAGGCTTGATCGGATGTGATGGCAGCAGGACACTGAGCAACCCACATGGGGAGCACTTCAAAGGGCCCCTGTCAAGCTGCGTGAAGCCCAGGAGCTGACCCCACCTGACCCAGCTACTTGCCCCATCCCCAGTGCTGGGCTAATCTCACCAGTGACAGAGCCAGAGCCATGGGTGTTGGAGACTCACTAGCTAGAGCAGCTACAGAAGGGGGCAGGGGTCCCAATCTCCTCCAAGAAGCTTTAAGGCAGCTGAGAAAGTTCCCACTGAGTGGCTGCACAGAGGGCCAGGGCAGGCTCGGGGAGCACGGCCGCCCCATACATACCTCCTCCTGCAGGGCGTGGTGCACAGCGTCGATTGCCCTGCGGGGGCTGTAACACGTGGACACAGCAACCTGGCCCAGCGAGCCTGCAATCCGCACCACTGAAAGAGAGGCAGACATGCTGAGAACCCACCCAAGGCCCCTTCTGCCTGCCTCAGGCAGTGCCCTTCCCCTCATCCTTACCAGAATCATAGATCTCCATCTTCTGGATGTACGGTGTGACCAGCTTAGGGGGCTCCTGCTTGTTGCGCCCTCCAAGTAGCTCCTCCTCGGCCTGCTTCCGCTCCAGCCTGTGGTAATAGGCCTATGAAGGACAGGACGGCAAAACAGTTGTGAGAGGAGGCAGCAGGCCAGGCACAGGCCTGCTATGGGGCTGAGCGCACTGCAGTAGCCGTGGCCACTGGCACCGGGGGACTAGGGGTCTATGCCCCTCCCCCCCCAACTTTTTAACAAAAGAAACATGAGACCTGAATTCATGTCCCCTGCAGAATAACAGATTCTGCTGGGGTGGTGATGCAATTACACCTTTTGCCCACTAGGGGCTTCTGTGGCACCAGAAGAGGGCAGCTGGCTCACCACTGCAGCAGCCAGCCCCGGAGAGGGAGGAGGCACTTCGGTTTTACCCCTCGCCCCCTTCTCAAAGCTTATGATGCCCTTGCAAAAAGAAAAGGAGGACTTGTGGCACCTCAGAGCTGAAAATTTATTTGAGCATAAGCTTTCGTGAACTACAGCTCACTTCATCAGATGCATTGCAGTGGCCCAAAGCGGGGGAAGGGCTCCACCCAGTCCAACATCAGCCCCGGGGCTCCTTCTGGGGTGGGGAGCAGTTTAATTGGTCCATCTGCCCCAAGTGGGTTTCTGCACCAGGAGGGGCCAATCTGGCCAGTCTAATTCTCCTGCCTCCACTCTCAGTCCAGGGTTCCTGGCTGCCCCTCTGCATCCTCCTCACCAGGCCCCATGCTCTGGGAATGGCCAGCATCAGGACAGGGCACAAGCACCCTCCTCCACTCCAACAGCTGGGGCAGAGCTGTGCAGTGGTGCACCCTGTGGGGCAGAACTGACCTGGCTGGGGAGCAGCCTGGGGATAGTGGGCTCTGCCCAGCTGGAGCTGTGGGGGAAACCCAAGCCCCACCCAGCCAGGGAGATCTCTGCCCACTCTAGGGAGAGGAGGCATTGGATGGGCCCTGCCACCCCCACTCCACCACTCACCTGGTAATAGTAGTCATCCAGGTGAGGATTCTCACTCTGCAACTGTATCATCTGCACCTTGATCACCCAATCCTTCTCCTTGCGTGTCATGAGCCCAGAATAGGGATCCGCCTTCAGGGACCATGCCTTCTTGGGGGAGATGCTGCAGGGCAGGAGTCACCCCCCAGCATTACTCCCTGGGGACTCCACCTGGGGAACACCTGCGGCAACCAGCTACTCCCATTGGTCAACCCCCCATCAATTAATGGGCTCATATCAGGCTTCTGCCTGGAGATGTGGGTGGTAGCAGAGGGACTACGCAGGCCCTGGGAAGGCCTAGCAAGAGAGGAACCAATATTTGGGGAGCATAAGGGCCTCTGGGATGGGTGGGAGGGCACTGAGCACAAGGAGGTGAAAGGTCCTCTGGTTGAGATGATTCTGCTGGCTGCTCCCCCTCCAGCCGCTGTGCTGCTCACCTGGCACAGGCCAACCCCCTCTTGACCTCCCCCCAGGTGGGTCAGCTCCTTCACCCTGGAGCAGTGCCGGGGGGGGGGGGTGAGAAATCATGGGCAGAGCCCCCGCTCATATAGAGCTGACCCTCTCTCCAGCTGCTTCTCACACCCGAGTCCCCCTGCCCACACAGCACCCTCAGCAGATCTGCCTGGGCCTCAGCCCAACCTGGGGAAGGCCAGGCCACACCCCTCCAATGGAAGTATTTCCAGCAATGTACATGGAGGGAGGAGCACGGCGAGACTGGGGCTGAGGAACCGATATGTGGGGAGCACCAGGGCCCCAGGGACAGAGTTACCCCAGCACCAGGGCAGGTCCCCAGCTGGGTGGAGGTCTGGAAGGCAGGGGGATCCAGAGCAGGCACTGCCAGATACCCCCTGACTGGTGCCACATTAGGGGCAAGGTGCCCCTTTACAGGCAGCAGGTGCATAGGGCCTGGGACAGATCACAGGGCCCCAGCTGCTCAGGCCACTGCTATGCTCTATGCCAACTGCAGACCATGGAGCACAGTGAGCGAACCTGGGTCTCCGTAATCCCCTATACACAACCTCCGGCCCAGATCACAGTGAGCCAGCCTGGGGCTCCATAACCCCCTACACATGACCAGGATCACAGCAGGGCACAGGCACAAACATCCAGAGGGAGACATCTCAAGCTTCCTCGCCCTGGGCATGGCACTCAAAGCCTAGTGCCATCTCCTGCGGGGCTCAGCTGCCCCCCAGGTCCCTAGCTGAAAAAGCTCCAGGGGATGCCCTGGAAAGGCACCGCAACCTCAAGAGAGCAGGGAGTAGCCGGGAGTGAAACATCTGGACCCCGTCAGCAAGCTGCACCCACACAGCTAAGAGCACCAGGGTGCCAGGCTCAGGTCTGTGCCAATCTCACCACGTGCCAGCTGTGCCTCCCAAACTCCTTACAGGAGCCCCCAGTCTCTCTTTCCTCCTTGCCCGCCCCCCCAGCTCACCTCTGCGCCTGCCCTCGCTGCTGCCGCTGATTCAGGATCCGCTGATGCTGAGGGTGCAGCTGGGTCATGTGACTGGGCACACTGCAATGAAAGGCACGTGGTGGGGATGAGACCAGCAGCAGGAAGGGCTGATAGAGGATATGGTAATGAAGATGCCTGGGGGCAAAGGGGCAGCTGACACCAGGCCAGACTCAGGGCTGGCTACTGCCTTCCAGAGTTGGGGGCTCTGCATCTGGAGCTGCAAGGGGCCCTGCAGGATGGTGCCCTGTCTCTTCCCCTGACTGCCCTGGGGGTGACCTGGGCCCATTCCTGGAGGATCCAGGGGAATGTCCCAGCCAGCCTGCTGGCTAATTAAAGAGCAGCAGCACCAGTTCTATTCCCACCCTGCAGAATCCTTAGCGATAAGGTGCGAGGGCTGCAACATGGAACCTCAAATCTCTTTGGGGTTCACAGGCCACAATGCCTCCTTAGCCCCGCTCTGGTAGGGGCCCTGGCGCCCAGCTCCAATTTCAGAGCATGCACCAGCTATATAATCCAACCTCAGTCACCAGACTTGGGCCCAAGCCCGGTTTGTGGAGTTAGCAGGGAAAGCCGCCCTCCCTGCCCCCACAATCAGTGTGGAGATCAGAAAGGCTGGAGCCCTGGGTCACAGGGATCCTGCCTCCTTCCATGGTACCTGAACTTCAGCTGGCAGCCGGCTGGTGGACTGAAGAAGAGAGGGGGCTCCAGAGAGGGAGACATGGGGCCAAAGTGCATAGCCAGGGGTTGCATTGGGGTGCTGATGTTGCGTGACATGGGCCTAAAGGGGGTCGGAGACACATACCCCGAGCTCTGAAAGAGGAGAGAAGGGTTAGGTTTCCAGAGCCGGAGCATCCCCTTCCCCTAACTAAGAGACCCAGGAGCCCTTGAAGGCCCAGGATGGATGTGGGGCTCTTTCATTCATCTGGCACTAGGGAGAAGTGGAATGCCCCATGGCCAGAGACGCTGGCTCCTCCCTGCCCCCCCTGCATGCTGTAGTGGAGCTGCCTCGTCCTCTTCACCCTGCTGCATGCCGATGAGAGCGGCACGGGCTGCATGGCAGCACGGAGCTCCTTCACCCCTCTCCCCCACAACTGCCAGGCATGGCCAGGAAGTGCTCAGTGCTGCATGGGAGGAGTTTTGTTGCAGGTCCATCTCCAGTCAGGAAGGATGGCATGTGGACAGCACCCCCTACTGACTGACAGACATTGCCCTAGTTGCCCATCAGGTCTGAAAATTCCTGCTCCCAGCTGTTCCTCGAGGCCCCGGTGGGATCCTGTCCTCAGTCCCATTACACAGACCATAGCTGGGACTTCAGCATCATGCTGCCAAGCCAGCAGAGATGGTCAGGGGAGGAGTCGGGTGACCTATTAGTGGGCTCCAGGGATCCAGTCTGATCCCCTTCCACCCATACTCCAGGGGTAACTGTGCCCAATGTGGGGTCCAGGCCCTGAATGGCTCCTAAAGACATACTCTTCTTGCCCTGTGTCCTGCAGCTGGTTCAGCCTGTCCCTGCTTGCCCTGTCCATGCTGTTCTCTAATCTCCCTGTTGGTCTGCAGGGCCCATCATCTCTCTAGGCTGAACGTACCCAGGGCTCTCACTTCTCAGGCCTTTGCTCACCCCTGCAGCTCAGCTGTCAACCTCACCCCACTCTGGCTTTTCCAAAGCATGATGGCTGGAACTGAAGGTGGGGCTTTGGCTGAGGCCTAGAGCGACCTCTCCACACAATACGCCCCAGGCCACCCTCTAGCTCCTCCACTGCGTATTGTGCTTGGTGCTGCCCACCTCATCCAACAGGGGGCAGCAGGACTGAGTGAGGCAAAGGGGACAAGGGCTATGGCTCCAGAGGAACACCCTCAACAGTGAGAATGTGTCGGGGGTGGGGGCAGGATCCCAGAGGAGGAGACACTGAGGATGGCTACGCTGCTTAGAAAGAAGAGACGAGACATCTGTAAGAGAACGGCTCTGCAGAGGACTATTTCCTTTCTCCATGAGACAACAGAAAAGGGCACTTGGAATTAAAAGGCAGAGCATTTGAGATGGATGAAGGAAGTGATTCTTTATGTAACCACCTGTGGAACTGCCTGGTGGAGGAGAACAGCTTATGAAGTTACTAAGAAGGACCAGACAGCTGCACCTGCAGTGACACTGACCAGGATGAAGTCCCAAGGGCTGATCCTGCCATTTCAGGGCAGAAAGATTCCTTGGGCTAGGGCTTGCTCAGAAGAAACACCCTCCCTCCCTCCAGCATAGAGCTGTGCTAGCGACCAGGTCAATAGGCCTTGACACCTTCCCCAAACTCTCTGGCGCTGCCGCAGTGGGAGATGGGCTGATCAGCTCCAGCAGCTCCTGTGACGCATGTACAGGTGCAGACTGGAATGGCCAAAGCTTCCTGAGAGGTCCTGGGCTGGGAGGCAGGAAGCAGCTTGGGGTGCTACCTGATTGGGGGTGAAGAGAGGCGAGGCTCTGCGTGGCGGCGTGTACGGTCGAGAGGAGGCCATGGAGCGGGGCATCATGGGAGACTGCTGCGGGACAGGAGACAGGAATGTTACTGGAAGCAGGAGTCTGGTGGCACCTTAAAGACTAACAGATTTATTTGGGCATACCCAAATAAATCTGTTAGTCTTTAAGGTGCCACCGGACTCCTCGTTGTTTCTGTGGATACAGACTAACACAGCTACCCCTCTGATACTGGAAGTAGGGCTGTGGCAGGCTAACAGACTGGGCCAGCATCAGGCCCTGCCCTGCAGCTCGCCCTGCTGCATTCAGCATCAATGGTGTAAATAGCACATGCGAGACAGACACTGTTGGAGCAGCACTGCTGTGAGGATGGCCCAGAGCACTGGCTGGCTCAGCATGGGGCAGAGCGACCCCAAAGTGTCACGGGGCGGAGAGAACCAACAGAGGAATAGCAGGGACACAGGAGCAGGGGAATGAAGGGCAGAAGGCAGAGGCAGAAGGTGGGAGCTCACTTTACCTGCCGCATAAAGCGCTGAGGGAAGGATTTCGGGGACATCATTCTGAAGTCTGGGCGCTTGAGTCCAGGGGAGCCCAGGTATCCCCTCTGCGCTGGGGAAACAAGGAAGTCCAGGTTCATATGCGACATGGGGGGGCCCCTGTCCAATGCCTGGAGAATGGCTTTGTCCTACAGGAGAGACAAAGAGAGAGCCTTTCCGCTGTACCCCAGGGTATACCGGGCCACTGCTGGATGGAGAGTGACAACCCTGGCAGCCCCAAGGACTGATTTCAGCCAGCACTGCCTGCACCCAAACCAGGTGAGATGGGCCCTCGAGCCTCCCACAATCCCAGGGATCTGGGAGCGCTCACTAAAGGGATCAGCAGTGAGACAGGGCAGACATTCCTAGGGTCACCCCTAGGCCAGGCCCATGTGAGCCTGGGTGGGCACATGGCTGGACAATCCCTGCTTCAGAAAGCAGTTGCATATACCTGCCTGTAGGCCAGAAAGCCAGCCAGCCAGCCCTGGGGTTTGGAGTCACAATGGAGCGGGACTAGGGGCGAGCTCTGCGTATGGGCACGGGCACCTCCAGCTGTGTAGCTGCTAGAGGGATTGTGGAGCTGATACACTCCCCAGAGGGCTGGCTGGATTTCCTGTGCCCACAAGGAGCTCTGCAGCTGGGGATATGCCCACCCCACAGAGCTTCCAAATTCTACCACAGCATCAGCTTGGCTCTAGCAGGGCACAGGAGCTCTGCAGGGCCAGTCCCTTCTCCCACAAGACTTTGCACCAACCCCACCTAAGGGGGATGGGCCAGAGGAGCCTCTTCCATGCCTCCAAACTCCTTTGGGGCCACCAAAGCCCATTCTCCATCTGCCGCCAGGACTGGAACCCTTCCATGTTCCTACAGCACCTTCAGCCTCAAAGAGCCCTCTGCCCACAGGCCATGCCAGCTCCCACCCACCCTTGGGACAGTCCCCCACCATATCCATCAGTCCCATGTACCAGCCCCTGCCTGAAACTCAGCAAGCCCTTTGGTTTGGGCTCTGGACCCCCAGATGTTCGGGAGGTTGGGGAGGAGGAGACCTCCATCCTAGGCAGCCTGATGGCTCCAGAGCATTGGATGGTTCCATGCTCACAGTGCCCAGTGATGCCCTCTTCTGGATACGGGGAGAAGGCAAAGGGCGGTGCTCACCTCCAGCATGTGGCGCGACAGGATGCTGCTTGGGGACGAGGTCCATGCACATGAATCTGCAGCCATCTGAAAGGGACTGGGAGTTAGGCTTGAGGGAAAGACCCACTGAGCAAAGGTGGAGGGAGCAGGAAGAAAAGAACAGCTCTAGTCCCATCTACCAGCAGGAGGCGCAGCAGAGAACAGCTTAGAACAGAGATGTCAAACTCAAATCACCAGGAGGACCGCATTACTGACACCTTTACATATAAAGATACAAAAGCCCCCCTCCACCCCCACTCCACCTCTTCCCACCCCTTCCCTGCCCCCATTCCAACCCCTTCCCCAAAGTCCCCACCCCAACTCCGCCCCCTCCCTGCCCCTATTCCAACCCTTCCCCAAATCATGGCCCCTGCCCTGCATCTTCTCCGACTCGTCCCCTGAGCGCACATAGGGTGACCAGACATCCTAATAAAATTGGGACTGTCCCGATATTGAGCAGTTCATCCAGCGTCCCGACCAAAGTATGGTCGGGACGCCATTTGTCCCGATATTTTGTTTTGGGTACATCTTTTTTTTTCCCCCCTTAGGCAGCAGTGACAGGCGGGGGGAGCGCTTTTTCAATGGTTACACTCACCCAGCACGTCCGGGTCTTCGGCAGCACTTCGGCGGCGAGTACTTCTTTCTTCGCTGGCAAGATTTGTTTCTCACCATCGAACGTGGCGGGTGAGTGTAACAATTGAAAAGGCGCACCCCCTGCGGCAGTCCCGATATTTTGTATTTAGCATCTGGTCACCCTAAACACACAGCTCCCCGCTCCTCCCCCACTCCCTCCTGGAAAGCGCTAAGTGCCAAACAGCTGTTTGGCAGCGGGAAGCGCCTGGAGGTAGGCAGAGGAGCGGGGACACGGCACACTGGCGGGGGAGGGGGCGGCAGGTGAGGGGAGCTTGGCAGCAGCAGAAAATAACTCGGGGTGGGGAAGGGCGGTGAGCTTAGCAGGCTGCAGCAAATAACTCCACAGGCCGCATGCGGCCCGTGGGCCGGGTGTTTGAGACCCCTGGCTTAGAAGCACTGTGGGTGAACCTACAGCTACTCCAGGCCTGGCCTCTTCCAGCAGGAGGTGCTGTAGGAGCTACAACTATCAGAGGAGCTCCCAGCCACTCACCCCTGTCTCTTCCAGCAGTGGGTGCTGCAGGTACAGGGACATCAACTGAAGCTACGCATTGCTCCAGTCCCAGCCCTCTCCCTAGAGGAGATGCTGTGAGGTGCAGGAGCACTGGTTGTGGGGGAGCCACCAGCTCCTTCCATCCCCCCCCCCCCCCCGCCAGCAGCACTCCAGGGAAGGGGACAGGCATGAACCAGGTCAGGCAGGGGGAGGTGACCTCACTCTTACCAAGTCATCGCCCTCGAACTCTCCCCAGGTGGAGCCAATCCTGCTGTCGAGAACTGCTGAGTCCAGGCTCTGCAGGGGACAGAAAAATTGCACTCGTTCCCTGGGATCTGGGGAATTCAGCTTCCCTGCCTCCCTCTGGACCTGGGGAAGAGGAAAGGGGACTTGCCCCCAGGGAGAGTGGGGAGTCACTCACTGCCATCATGGGGGGGAATCTGTCCTCAGTCCCAGAATGGCTGACCCTGGGATTAGTGAGAGGAAGGGGCAATGCACATGGCCATATCACAGCAGACCCCCTCACCACCTCAGTTGGTATCTTCCCAGTTCGCAGGGGCTGCTGAAGTTAATGGGGAGACTCCTGCTGCATATGGGAGGGAGGGACCCCCTGCCCAGAGAGCTGGGAGGAAACAGCACCACTCCCCAGACACTCATGGAGAAAGGACAAAACCCACATGCCCTTCTGGAGCCCCCCTGCCTGTCTCACCTCCAGCGTGGGCTTGCTGTGCACAGCTCTCATCACTGCTGGGTCTCCCAAATCATTCTGCTCCTCATTGTCCTCATCATGCTGCTCCTCTTCTTCTTCCTCCTCCTCCTCCTCCTCCTCCTCATGTTCATCTATCCCTATCTCCTCCTCCATGTCAGCAAAGTCATCATGCCGAGCCCCAGGCTCTGCCTCACCTTCTTCCCCTGCCTCTTCCATCTCCTCCAGCATGGGCTGCTCCTCTTCTGCCCCCAGGCCAGGCTGCTCAGTGACCTTGTACTCATCCTCATCCTCCACCGCTACCGCTGCCACCACCGCAGCCTCATTTTTGCTCACAAGACTCAGCTCGGGGCCTTTATCTGGAGGAGCCGGGGCTTTTGCCACTTCCTCTTCCATGGAGTCTCGATCTTTGGAGGAAAGAAAGGACGGTTCCAGTCAGGGGCAGGGAGCTGGGGGATTGCACAGCAGCTCCACTGCCTGTGGCGCTGCCCAGTCTGAACTGGGGGAGATGCTGCCCAGACCAACAGGGGAGCTAGATGCTGGGAAATTGACCTTTGAGCCTCCGGCTCCAGAGAACAACTCCCCAGGTGTGGGATCTCTCCCGTAAGTGATCCCCCAAGTCCCAGCCATCAACACCTCCCAACAAGCCCAAGTCACACTCCAGCTGCCCAACCTTCGTGTTCCCCACTGCCCTCTCTTTCCAAATTCTGCTCATCCTCTCCTGCTGCCTCCAAGCCCTACCTAACCCAAATGTCATTTCATTGTACAGGTCAATCTCCTCATCTTCCTCCGCCATTTCTTCCAGCAAAGGAGCATCTTCTGCCAGAAGGTAGTCTTCTAGGATCTAGGAGACAGAGCGAGATGGGGAGTAGGGCGTTCCTTCCCCTTCTGGGAGCCAGCTAGTAAGGAAAGACAAACATCCTGACCTGCCCCAAGCCAGAGGGGGGGATGAGCACCCATCTCCTCCCCCAGCCAAAGAAGGGGTACTGAACTAAAGATCTCCCTCTAGCCAAGCCCCAGATGGGGCATGTCCTGCTGGCTAACAGCAGGTATTTAGAGATCTCTGACAGCCCCTACTGCTAACCCCAGACCCCTGGCACCTCCAAGGCACTAGCTGGAAGGGTGATGGCAACTTAGTCTACCAGTTTTTAATCTCTCAGCTGCTCCACTGAAATCAATGGGAAGTTTAGCCTGCTTCAGTAGCACTTTGAGAAGCTCCGAGCCTACAACTTGTTTCAGCGACTCAGAGAATCCATGTGGACTTTAAGAGATTTCTGTGTGGGCACAGGATCCACCCACATGGTACAAGTTGGAGGACCAGGGTCTCAGCCGGTAAAGCACCTGTTGCACACAGCATGTCACTGAGTGGAAAAGCAATGCCAGAGCTGTTAGAAACAAGGCTATGTCTGTCCTTTTGCTGAACTGGCCATTGGTACATGCATTTCCTCAGTTTGTACACACAACTGCTGTACTTGCACAAATTAGGAGCCCAGTGCTGCAACTGCACTGCGTGAAAAGCTAGCTCTCAAAGTATCACTGGTAGGTTTAAGAGTTATCGCCCCACTGATATTAATGGGGGGAGTTCATGCTCCTCAAAGCTAACACTGTCTACCGACTCGGGGACAATTGTGCATTGGTCTTGCTCAAGTCCCATTTAGAAGGCTTGCTTGGCAACCATGAGGGCAAGAAGTTTTTCTTAAAATGAAAGTGGAGATTCTGCAGAACTTATATTGGTCAAGGGGCCGAGATGAATCCATCAAGGGGGTCAGAGGCAGCCCCGCTGATATTGGGCACAGAGGAGGTGGTGTGCAAATCTGATGCAGTGAACCAGGGAGCCAATGGAGGGAGTGATGTCGTTTGAGCAACAGCAGAACAAAGGATCTTCAGCAGCAGCATTTTTGACAGACTCCAGGAAGCGGAAGAGGGAAGGCCAGAGAGGATGTTACTGTGATAAAGGCAAGAAGTGACCACTACAAAAAGAAGGGTTTAGCTGTGAGGACAGCAGGGAAAGGGGGACATTAGACAGGAGACAGGCTCTAGCAAGAGGCTGGACATGGGGGAGAAGAGCCAAGAGGCTGCCCAAATCACAGGCCTGGGGGATGGGGAGAGGTGTGAAGCTGCCTGATAGGGGAACAGTAAGAAGCTCTGTCCTGATGAGGAGGTGGTAGCGGTGGGACATCCCAGAGGAGTGCCCAAGAGGCAACTAGAAAGACGAGTTTGGACGAAGGAGGAGAGGGTGGATTTGAGAAACAGCCTCACAGAAGCAGTAGCTGAATCTGTAGGACATGAAAAGGAGCTGAGAGGACTCAGCACCGTGAAGAAGCCCTTTGGCTTCGTACCATTAGGCTCTAAACAGGGACAAGCAGCCTTAGTCTGGGAAAGGCTGAGAAGCAAAACCAAGGACCAGGCTGTGAGCTAGGAAAAGCAAACTCCAGACTAGACATCAGGACAGCCATCCCACGAGGGGACCAAGATACTGACCTGACCAGTCAGAGCAGGGCTGGAGCCACTGAGCGGCCAAGTCACACCTGTCATCTGGGGCTACACAGCCATAGCTCAAGAAGCCCCATCCAGTGGCTGGGCATGGATGAGCACTTGACTCAGCACCGCACCAGGGGACCTGCCGAGGGCCAAGGGGAGCAGCTCTGCCCCAGCTGGGAGTTCCCCACCCACGAGCCTCGCTGCTCTCCTGCCTGGGGCACTTGCCAGGGCCAGCGGCTGCCCCGAGCCTGGTGGCTGGTAACAGCCCCCTTCCCTGCAGAGCCAAGGGGCAGAGCAGCTGCAGCAGCCCAAGGGGTGACTGCCAGGCGGGCCAGGGGGCTACAGGTGGGGCTGGGGCTGGGGCGGGGCAGGGCAGCTGTCCAGGAGGGGATGTCCTGTCCTCGCACTACACAGAGGGAGCCCTCCCCTGCCCCAGACGCCCCCAAAGCAGGAGACTCTGGGCTCCTAGGGTGGGGGAAGAACCGGGGCGGCAGTGGAGAACACTTACAGCCAGCTCATTACTCTCCGCCATTGCACCGTCCCCACCCACCGCGATTTCCCTCTATGGGGCCGGGCTCCGGCCGCCTGGCGGCTTTTGAAGGGCAGAGGCAAGGGGAGCGAGGCTGCGCTACTGCGCATGCGCGGAGCGCTCCCAGCCTCACAAGGTGGTGGCGTGCAGTCGAGTAGGCAGGAAGGTACACCTGTGTAAGCGTGAGGTCTGCGCTGCCTCACCTGTAGCCCCTCTCGGCGGTGTCACCGGCCAGGGGTTCCCATTCCCCCCCGCGCCGGCTCTGTGTAGTGGTGCAGTCCGGGTTCCCCGAGGGGGGCGGGCACTCCAGCCTGTGCATTAGGCTCTGCCCTGGCTCCTCGCAGGTGGGCGGTGCACGTGCAGCCCCAGAGCTCCTGAGGACCCCTCCCCCGGCTTGGCTGCATGGAGGGCCAGGGTGGGGTCTGATGCCGTGCTGGCCCCAGCGGTACCTCTTCTGGGGGCTCCAGGGTTGCACTGGCCACAGTGCGTGGCTGGGCCCTGGGCCCCTGTAGTGGGTGGGGCACTTTGTCTGTTGACCCCAGGCTTTGGAAACGCTAGGCTCTAGGGGTCTCTGTCAGTGGGGCTCTGGGTGCCCGCAGCACTGGGGTATGAGCAGCAGTCAGGGTTGGATCAGTAACTAATTTGTGCCAGGGCTGAGCCCCAGCACCTCTGGGCTTGCTGCATCAGTTATGAATGTAAACAAATTGCTTGAGCGCTGCCACCTCTTTCATTACAAATTAAGCACTGGATTGGAGGCTCCTACTGTCATGAGAGTGGCAGCGGCTGCACCCATGATTGCTTCCAGTCCAGCCGCAGTGAGGAAACTCACCCTCAGGGTGGGATGCTTTCCAGCAGTCACTCTTCTGCCTGGCACACACAGCAGCTGGCAGGCCCAGGAACATGTTTCTGTTGGTGCTGGCTCAGATCCTTAAGCAACTGACTTCCAGTGTCACCCAGCTAGTTACAATTCAGAACCCAACATCTCAGCACACACAGGCTGAGTTGGGGGTCTCTTCTGTTGGTTCTAATTTGCTCACATGTAAAACCAAGGTTTAACTGGTGAAGCAGTATTCAACTAACCATATTGGTCCCTTGTGCCTCTCCCTTGTGCCTGTATTCACCTCTTGTCTTATATGTAGACTGTAGCTCTTTGGGGGCAGGGACTGTCTCTTTGTTCTGTGTTTGTACCACACCTAGCACAATGGGGTCCTGGCCTGTGACTCAGACTCCTAGGCATTACCACAAAACAAAAAATTAAAAGTTCTCACTCAGATAACCATAGCCAACTTTGTAGAAAGAGATATTCCTAGAAATACCATTGGTAGAATAAAATACACACACTGTGGATCTAAATCACAACATGAAAATACATTGTGTCATTTAATACCCCTGAGGCTGAGTAGTATTTGGCATCTTTGTCTGCCCCAAGCTATACTGATTATTAAACTTCTGCAGGAGATGGGACGAGTGGAGAATGACTCATGTAGAACTGGAGGAGGAAAGATGCAGCAGAACTCCTCCAATAATACTGCAGGTTTTGTTATCTAAGCTTTAATCTGGCTTGTATTCACTGCTTCAGGTTTCAGCTCTTTATCTGCAGAGGGCAGTATTAAGGAAGGACTCACCAACGGGGCAGAGTTTAAACCAGTGACCAGTGTTTAAAAATAAATCACCAGTTACCAAGTGTAATCACCATAGCATCTGAGATATTTTAGTATATCAGAGATAACAGACTTGTCAGTAATGATATGTCTACACTGCAATGTAAGATCAGACTCAGATTCAAACTCTACCCTCGTACCCTTCTGTCTATACACAAATCTCTTGGGCTCAGACTTGGACCCAGGGTACTAGGACCCCACAGGGGTGGAGGATCCCAGCCCAAGACCAGCTAGGAACAGGGTTCAAGCCCTATTGTTGTGCAGCATGGACACAGCAATGCCAGAATCAAGCCCTGGGAGTCTGCCAATCCTATCCCACAGTCCTATGGGCCAGTGTTCTTTGTCCCTTCTATCCCACCAGTCACCAAATGACTCCTACACAACAGAGGCAACCCCCTTTGTTCACCAACAGATCAGTGTTTAACCCTTCCATTTTATTCTGACTTCTGAGCTGCAGACACAGTGAACCTTCTCCTGCATTTGCAATGGCCGCTGACCAGAAGTCCTTTGCTAAGCGCGCTGCTTTCTGGCCACGGAAGCACAGCCAGATTTTGGTAAATCTCTTGTGTCAGGTGAGCAAAACATTCAATTTTAGTAAGAGTACCAGGAAACTCAAGTAGACTAAGGTGGGGTCTCTTATCCAACATGTGTTCAGCTGTTTAATCAGCAACACTGGTGCTTTATGGATAATACAGACTCTTGGGGTGTGTTTAAAATGTCATGTTTGGTAAATACAAGAAATTCCTTTGAAGCATATTGACTCATTTGCAGACAGAATCCTTTCAGGGATTCCATATCTGGCAAATGCAGCTACGGTTCAAGCAACCATCACTTGATGCTGACAATTATTGTCTGGAATCCAGTCTTCCATTTTTTATTATTATTTAAGAAAAGATGGTGAGACAGCTGAGTCTCTGGTGCCTCCGATCTCCCTGAACTTTGTCAGTTGGGGATCTGATCTAGGAATGCAATGGAGACTGCAGAGGTTGGACTTGTGGATGGTCTCCCACTAGTGATGGAGGAAGAGGATGTTTGAGGGGTGCGATTTTGGGGCTTTATTTTCTGATTGATAGTTTATGGTTTGGGGTGTGAGAAGAAGCTGCTGTTCTTACAGTTTAATATATGGCAGAGCCATTTCTTGTTTTGTAAAGCAATCAGAATAAATACAAACATTAACGAGTGAATCAGATTGGTACCCATCAGTTTAGGATGATAAAGATTTTGTTGCAGACAAATCAGGGTGCATGGTCTGCCTTGGTCTCAACATTTCATGTGGTATCACTGGTGATTATGTTTATGAGATAGGTTGGAATGCATTACCCCGATCCTGCAATGAACTTTGCACAGGTAGACCTCTGCAACTACACAGATCCCCGTTGGTGCAGAGCAGGGGGGCCAGAACGGGAGGGAGCCAGGGGGCTATTCCCTCCCACTTTTTACCAGCTGTAAGGGAGACTGATGGGGGGAAAGGGTGGAATGTTGCAAGGGTAAGGGCTCAGAGGAGAAGAGGCAGCATGAGGGCAGGAGCTGGGGGCAGCGTGGGTGGGGTGGGGCCATGGTTCAGGTGCCGGTGGCCTCCCGTCCCCCACACTCTTAGGGAAAGAAAGTCCCTGCCTGCAGCTTTCAGTACAGGCTACTGTTCCTGAAGATGCGTGCATCATGCACCTTTCCAGACCAGCCTGCATTGATGTCCATAAAATGCCCCTGGTGATCCACAAGCACCTACAACCCCATGGAGAAGTATCTCTTCCTATTGATGTATTCTGAGGTAAGGTGGTCTGGCGCTAAAATTGGAATGTGTGTGCCATCAATTGCCCTGCCACAGTTAGGGAAACCCATCTCTGCAAAGTCATCCACTATTTCATGCACATTTCCTAGAGTCACGGTCCTCCGCAGCAGGATGCAATTTATTGCCCTGCACACTTGGAGTAGTACAGCCCCAAGAGTGAATCATAGAATATCACGATTGGAAGGGACCTCAGGAGGTCATCTAGTCCAACCCCCTGCTCAAACAGGACTAATCCCCCATAGTTGCCCCAGATCCCTAAATGGCCCCCTCAAGGATTGAACTCACAACCCTGGGTTTAGCAAGCCAATGCTCAAACCACTTCCCCTCTCCAAATTGATTTGCAATGTCCAGTAGCAGTCTCGATTCGCCAGCTTCCACACAATGATTGCAGCCTGCTTCTCTACCGAAAGGGCAGCTCTCATTCTGATGTCCTTGCGCCGCAGGTCGCGGGCCAGCTCAGCACATAGCTCCAGGAAGGTTGCTTTATGCATCCTAAAGTTCTGTACCCACTGGTCTTCATCCCAAACCTGCATGACAATGTGATTCCACCAATCAGTGCTTGTTTCCCTCGCCCAAAAGTGACGGTCTACTGTATGCAGCTGCTCTGTGACTGCCAAAAGCACTGATAAGTTGCTGCTGTCCATATCACACTCAGGTGCCTGCGATTCATCCTCCGTCAGTAACTTTGCGAGTAACTCTGTTGCCATGCGTGATGTCCTCATGAGAGTTAACAGCGCATAGGAGAGAAGTGTTGGATCCATCCTCTCTCACTGCAGATGCTGGTGCGCACTACAAAGACTGACAGTTGGAAAAACGGTGCAACGGGAAAGCCAGAACATCGTGAAAGGAAGCCAGAAACCATTGGAGGGCTGGGACACAAAGTGGTGCATGATGGGATATTTTGCACATCCCAGGACGTGCCACGTTCCATTTCCGCCTTCCCACAACACCTAGCGACAGATGGTGTCGCCAAGCACTGTGGGATACATACCATGCTGTCGACAATGGTGCCCCGAATGTGGACGCGATCTGTTGACAGAAGGAGCAAATGTAGACTCACTTAGGCGACTTTGCTTTTGTCAATTTTTTTCATGTCAACATTAGTTTCATTGACAAAACTTGCCGGTGTAGACAAGCCCTCACTTTAAGTGTGATGCAATAGGCAGATTTAGTTTCTGAGAGCTTTACGATATGACAGAGAGCAGCACCTCTCCTCCCCCGCTGCTGAGAAGGAGGGGGCAGTGGGTGATTCTCAATGGCAGATTATCCCTGGACCCATTAAGCACCTCTTTCCCCCTCCCTTATTCACATCACCCTTGGCTTATAGGTTCCCAACCCTGGTGCTGAGAGGAGGGGGAACATCACACTTCTTCCCACTCCCTTACCCAGCTTTGCTGCCTTCTCAGTCACTTGCACACACTTCCTCCCTCTTTTGGCTCCTGGAAAAGGGGCAAGAAAGAGGACAATTTCCCACTCTTTTCTCCTTTGTCCCCAGCTGCGTGTATTTTTTATGGGTTTTCCCCATGACCCTCATACCTCTGCAACTCTTCTTGGGTTTGCAACATTCCTCAGGGCTTGTCTACACTCAAAGTGCTAAAGCGGCACAGTTGTGCCCCTGCCATGCTTCAGTGCAGATACTACGCCGACGGGAGGGGCTCTCTCATTGGTGTAGGTAATCCACCTCCCTGAGAGGCAGTAGCTGGGTCAACAGAAGAATTCTTCCATCAACCTAGTGCTATCTACATGGGGACTTAGGTTAGCTTAACTACGTCGCTCCGGGGTATGGATTTTTAACTCTCCTAGCCACATAACTGGGTCAACCTAATTTTCTAGTGTAGACCAGCCCTTAGTGGCAGAGTAAAACTGACAACTATAGCATCAGTTTCACAGCTGGTACCTTTGAGATACTGAGCAGTAATGTGAAACTCACTAGAGTCTTGTAAATTTCATGGAGCTGCTAGAAGGCTGTGTGCTGTAGCAGAGAGAGAGACCCAGTCTACTGCTGGGGTGGAGGAATAGGAGAGGTGAGAGAAGCAGGAGATGTTCCATGAGTACACCAAAACATCAGCAAGATTGGGATCCTGATTTTCCACTTCCTTGCACCTTGCATAGTAATTCACACCTGTCCAAAGTAGATGTAAAATACTACCAATCAGCAGGAAACATTTACACCTGTTTCCATGATCTCACAAGCTAGGCAGCTGGAAAGAATCAGGCACAGGGGCGTGGCTCTGTTACTGATCACAGCCTTCTAGGGAGTGTTACAGCTGCTGCCTATATAAATCTGAGCAGAGAGTGCAACTAAGCAGAGTCCTGCCAATTTCAGGCTGTTGGTGCTAGTCCTGTTGGGATCCAGAAAGCAGGTGGGCGGGCGAGCGGCCAGGCAGAAACCCACCCACTACTAAAGGATCTCCCCCAGACTAAGGGGAGGATCTACAGGTCTGGGATTCCAAATAATTGCAGGGAACAATTAATGAGATAATAGGAATGGGAGTGAGGTCACAGGGCTAAATGAAGGGAACTGGATGGGGACACCGAGCAGAGAACTCCAGACAGTGCCCAATGCTCCTCAAAGGTGTGAAGGGAGCCAGCAGATGCTGTTGGTGTTAGTTCCAGGCAGAGTAATTTTCCTACTCGTCCTAGCAAACAGGTGAATGCACTTTCAAGCCTTGTGAGTGTATAGACTGTAGAACTGGAAATGGTCCCAGTGAATTTATTTCTGCAGATTTTCAAGTCTATGAAATTAAAAGTAAGGTGAATATTTGTATTTCTGGATCTCTGCTCCTACTGATCAGCTGGCTGGCAGAGTGGGGTAGTTCTTGTGTCATCACTGCCATGGCAACACACAAGTGTCCGCATCCTCTCTACTTGCCTTCAGCTACATCTGACCAACTGTGTGAATCAGTGGTACAGCTAGGAGTGGATATTTGGGTAGTTCTCAGTGTATGGGGGATGGATAATGACTGACTCATGCTAGGAGTGTGAACATTGTGGCTTGGGCTAGCCCCCCAAGTCCAGCCCCCTGGGTCTAAGGTAGGGAAGAAGCAGAGGAAACTAAACAGGCTGAAGCAGGTGTCTGCGTACACCTACAGCCTTTGGGGAGGAAACACAGGGTGTGAGATGCAGCCTGCTCCCCTTGCGGCAGAGAAACTGTGCCAACATCCACATGGGGATGCAGGGTCTGTGCTGGGAGGTTTGCATTCGGTGTGAGGGTGGCTCTCTGTGGCAGTGACCCCCCTCCTAGTTTTGTGGGGAAGGACTCTCTAGGTGTGCAGGGCAGGCAGGTACCACTCTGGGGGGGAGTGTTGCAGGGTTGATAACCGTCTGTATCCTGGCCTGGTGCAGAGAGGAGGGATGGGGAGGTATTGGAGAGTGTGCCCGCCTGCTTCCTGGATCCCAACAGGACTGTCCCCGGAGGCTGGGCCCAGCTCCCCACTCCATCCCATTGGTTCTTGCTACTCACCAATTCAGAGGAGCCCACCACAGCAATGCTACAGACTAATCTGGCAGCACTGCCTTGCTCAGATTTGGGTGGGTCTAAGTGCTAATTGGATGGGCCATGGCTACACCCCTGGTGTGAATATATACTCACATGATTATAATGTTTCTGTATAAAAGTGACTGCTATAGCTTAACAGACCATGCTTACGAGAACTAAAAGGTCCATTAGATACAGATGTAATTATCATAGATGATCATAATTCAGAAGAAGAATGGGAGGCATTTCATTGAATTTCAAATAAGATTCCTTTTGCTTTCTAAAAATCACCTTTGCAGGAGGTTACAGTTCAGTTTCTTTTTACAGGAAACCCTTTCAGTCAGGATTGTTTACTATGAGATCATCACTGGGAATCCCCATCTGAACAGCATTAAGCCTGTGGAACAAACGGGCAGGGCTGGGCCCTTATTGCAGCCAGAGAAGACTTAAGTATGTGAATAATTCTGTTGAAGTCATTAGGACTGTTTACGTGCATGAAGTTCAACATGTGAATAAAGCCTGCAAGATCAGGGCCAAAGGCAGCAAATCCCAGCTGAGGACTGGCTGGCTGAGGGGATTGGTAACAGATATGGAGATTGGCACTTAAATCCTAAATGGAATGAGCTTGTTCCTGCTACTGTTAAGATCCATGAGAAGGCTCCCATTGACACCAATGGGGCAGGAGCAGCCCTTATGACCTCATTACAAAATAATCGTATCTCCTAGTGAAATATCATTACCTCTGGGCTGGAATGCTTCAGCTCTGTAACAACGCACAACAATGCAACACAAAGTAAGGAACAATCTTGAACTGATGCAATGAAAGTGACAGTGCATAACACACAGAATCACTCCCTAATAGCAACCACTTAATTCATATCTTGTTTTTCCCTATTGATATAACTCTGGCTAAGGTTTTTTTGGGTTTTTCACAGGCATATCCCGTCAGCCTGTATGATGTTCTGTGACAATCTGGGGTGGGAGTCACAAAGATATTTAGGTGCCTGTGAATCCAGCAATTGCTTCCTATTGATGCTACCCACTGCAAAGTTTGCTTGCTTATAGGAACTTTTTCCTACTATGTCTGTCTGCATCTGGTCCTTTAAGCTTGGCAGAGCCAAGCAGCTGTAGCTACTGTGCAGCTGGTTTCTGCTTGCTGCATTTCTCTTCAAGTTTGTGAGTTCCTGCTATGTTTTTCTTGCTGAGGAGAATGACGTTCTCAATCCCACTGAAATTATATGGGGCAGAATGTAAATGGCCTTGAATTTAATTGAGATGCTCTGGCTGACCCACTAACCTTTGTGATAAGTAATAGGGGGATCCTTAATAGTCCAAGTGAGCAGGATGTTGGTTTTATGTCTCTACTTGAAGTGGTATCTTTTAGGGAACCAAAATAGCTTCTTGCCAACATTGTTCTGGTGCTGCCCATCAAACTCAAACCGTTAAGAAAGGGGTCTAGCCAGGGTTAACAAGGCACAACTATGTCCTGTGGAACTCCTTGCCAGAGGATGTTGTGAAGGCCAAGATTATAACAGGGTTTGAAAAAGAACTAGATAAATTCATGGAGGACAGGTCCATCAATGGCTATTAGTCAGGAATAGGGAGGGCAGGGATGGTATCCCTAGCCTCTGTTCACCCGAAACTGGGAATGGGCGATAGGAGCAGGAGATGGATCATTTGATGATTACCTGTTCTGTTCATTTCCTCTGGGCACCTGGCAATGGCCACTGTCAGACGACAGGATACTGGGCTAGATGGACCTTTGGTCTGACTCAGTATGGCCGTTTTTATGTACTCTAATCGTGGGTGAAAAGGAGGCAGCTATGTTTTCACCAGGACCCAATTGGGAGTATGTGGCGCTTGTTATAGTTTTGCCAACCCAAAATGGTCAAAAATCATGAGTCAGTCAGCTGAAAACTAGACTGGCCTAAAAATCCTAAGACTTTTAAAAAATAATAACAGTAGGTTGTGTGTCTGGTTTTTTTTATTTGGCTTCTGGTTTCTGAGCCTTTACGTTGCCTTGTGCAACATTTTCAAACTTACCTCCACAACCATGAGGGCTAGAAACTTGCTTTAAAAAATTAAAAAGTTGAGATTTTTGTAGATTCAATGACTGGCACTTGAAACATCACTCCAAATATGATAAGACTTTCAGTCAGTTCATAAGAGTTGGTAAAAGGGGTCTCTTTAGTGAAAGGGGGAGAAGTATAGAGAAGTAAGATGAAAGGCTGGCTTACCCTGAGAAATGCTGCCTTGTGTTGAGTTGGCTGTAATGTTTGTTGGGAACACTGGGGCATGGCCACTAGGTAACTCGAGGGGATGGAAGACCACGAGTGTCGATGAAGCCCCCTCGCACTAGGCCCCGGTGTCCTTGGCCCCCCTCCTCCTGCCTGGAGGCACTCACAGCAGCTCTGCGTGCTAGGCCCAAGTGTCCTTGGCCCCCCCCGCCTGGAGGCACACACAGCAGTTATGCTGAGAATCTGCAACAGTATGTTGCAGAGTCAGACTGCCTGAAACTAAGCAAGGCCAAACAGGGGAGATATGGAAGAACAATGCTGAATAAAGCAGCTTTATGTATAGTTTAACAAATGATACAGAGAATCAGGGAACTAGCTGGGAACTGGATTGGCTGGCTATATGGATACTTGGAGCAGCTTGCTATTGGATAAGTATGCTGGGAAAAAGGATGTATAAAAGCCTGTGTAACTTCCTGCTCTGTTGTGCAGGATTTGAGATTTTATTCTACCTGTACCTTTTTGCAGCTGCAAATAAACTTTTCTGCTTCTCCACCCCGTTGTGATTATTGGGTGTAGCACACCGGGTAACGAACCAACTCAAGCTGTTGTTCAGCCTCTCGGCACTGGGTGCCGGCAACATGTTGATTGTTGCCAGGAAAAGGGAGGCTCTGTAATCTGAGACTCTTGCTGTTTAGGAATAAGCTATGCTGCTCTGGTAAAGGCAGATGGACCATGACCTCAAAAGGAACACAATTTTTCTGCTAGAAACTAAAAATGGATGAGTAGGAAATTTTTATTATTCTGCCATGAACCTTACAACCCCCTTCACCAATTAGGAAAAAGAAGTGACTAAGCAGGGAAACCAGGAAATAACTGTCACTCCCTGAAATGGTCGATCTTGGCTAGCCTTGGAGGGACCAAAAATGTATTAAGGTAAAAGCAAATCCCAATAATGTTTTAAATAAAAAACAAGAACAAAAATGGGGGCCCAATTCTGCCCTTATTTGTAACCATGTGACCTTATGCCCTTGACGAGGGGCTTGATTGGGTATAACTGAGGGCTGACTCTGGTTCTTTGTTACTCTATTTTCTAAGAATGTCTCTTTCTCTCTTCTTGTTTTGTTTGTTTTTCAATTCTATGCACAGGTAACATTCTGTGCTGCAGGGAATGACAAACCTCACACCACACACACACTCAAGCGACCAGTAAACCACACAGGAAGAAGCTAGCAGCTATCTCAGTGTCGTGTGACACTTATTTAATTTTCATAAAAACCCCCATGTTAATAGGAACAATAATGATGAATCTTATTTTATATTTCCAAATACAAAGTAAGTTAAGCTCAAGTTAAGTCTGTGGGCCTATCAGTAATATAACAGTAAAAATACTGTAGGGATGTTGGATGTGACACACTGACAATATCCTGGACAAATCTTCTGGAATTAAGATAAACTTTACCGAATGAAGTTAAAGCTTACGAATTAGGTTTAAAACCTTTGGGGTCTATTGTATTAAAAATGCAGTTCTGGTGTGTTGTTGTGGCATTGTATGTACCTTCTCTAGTAGGAGGGAATATTGTCATTCCTATTACCAGCCCTTTGAGGACGCTCCTAGAAAGGTGCACAGACACTAGTTCACACTGGATTCTTCAGGGACTACCAGACAAAGAATCAGAGGAGTAACCGTGTTAGTCTGTATCCACAAAAACAACAAGGAGTGCAGTGGCACCTTAAAGGCTAACAGATTTATTGGGGCATAAGCTTTCGTGGGTAATAACTCCACTTCTTCAGATGAAAGCTGAATAAATCTGTTAGCCTTTAAGGTGCCACTGGACTCCTCATTGTTTCAGACAAAGAAAGGATTTTTGGATAAATAACCTGGTTTTAAATTGGCTCAGGGCCTTCTTTCTGATCCAGAAAATGGACAGGCCCTTGGCTCGCGGATGCTCTGGGGAAGAGCTGTGTGCTAGCTCTGTTGAACTTGTGACCACCAAAGGCACCACCGCTCCTTTATGGGGTTTTAAAGGAGGGCTCCAGCCAGAGCTTCAATCTCCCCATGTGTAAAAGCAGCTAAGGAGACTGACCACCTGTGCACAGCGCTGTGAGCACTATGGCTGAGCAGGGCTAGGTAAGGTGGTGGGGGTGTGGGCTGGGGCCATGGGGAGGAAAAGTTGTTTTTGCAGAAATCCTAGTTGCAGGTGCTGGAGAAGGGGGTAGTGGCAGGTGAGGGGACAGAGGTGTTGAGACTCTTTATCTTGAGAAAAAAGAAAAGGAGTACTTGTGGCACCTTAGTATTTTCCTCTGCATGCAGCCAATGAAGTGGGCTGTAGCTCACAAAAGCTTATGCTCTAATAAATTTGTTAGTCTCTAAGGTGCCACAAGTCCTCTTGTTCTTTTTGCTGATACAGACTAACATGGCTGCTACTCTGAAACTTGTCTTGAGCAGGGTCTCAGCTGGGACAGAGGAGCTGTAAGGAACGCCCAGAGCCCAGCTCAGGCTATTACACAAAGGGCCCTGGCGAGAGTGGCCTGCGGTAGTTGCTCCAGGACTGAAGGCTGAAAAGCGAAACCGAAAGGGAGCTGGAGCCCGAGGGAGCGGCTGCTGCGGGGAGCGTGCACGCGCCGGAAAGCCCCTCTCGGCTCGGCTAACCTGTCAGCGGCATGTCTGCCTGGTGACGAGTGATGCGGGAGGCCTCACCCCGCTGTGATTGGCCCGAGGCAGGCAGGGTATAAAGGCGCTGGCGGGCGGCGGAGGTGCCAGTCCGCTGAGGGTGAGCGCGGAGGAGCGTGTGTAGCTGGAGCCATGGCTCGGGGTCTCAGTGTGTTGATGCTTGTGCTGCTCGGACTCGCCGGCCTGGACGCGATCCAATGTAAGACCCGCTCCGTGCCGGGACCGCTGGAGGGGCGCATAGAGACCTGTCCCGGGCCGCGCAGTGTCCGAGCCAGACGGGGGGTCCAGCCCGGGGGCCGCCGGCAGCCTTAGCCGGGGACAGCTCCCCGGGGAGCCGGGCCCCGCTCCGAACCGGAGCGCGAGTCTCGCCCCAGCTGCGCGGAGCGCGCCGAGCCCCGTGCTGGTCGCGGGGCCACCCCCCGACAGCCCGGCCCGGGAGCGGCTCCCCCGGGCGGTGCTCAGCGCCCCGCGGCCGCCCGGCTGGGTTGTTGCGGGACCCGCTGGGTCGGGCGGCTCCGGCTGGCTGTGCGCCAGGGGCTTTCTGGGAAGGCTGCCCGCCTGGCTTTCGCTTTCGGTGGGGATGGGGGCGCCTCTGCTGCGGTGGTGGGAGGGCGCTGGATGAGCCCCAGCGGCGAGGTTAGCTCCGCCGCGGGAGCCCCCAGGGCTGCGTTCCTGCTGGGGGTGCCCTGGTGCGGCTGCAGCCTGTGCCCAGAGGAGTGCTGCTGGGGTGGGGACCCCACCTCCCTCCGTGACTCAGCAGGAGCCAGGTTCCACTGACCCTGGTTGCAATAGAGTGACTGGATAGCGAGTGTGAAAAATCGGGAAGGGGGTGTGGCACCAATATAAGACACAGGCCCAAATAGTGTGGCTGTTCCTATAAAATCAGGCTGTCTGGTCAGCCTAGCTGTCAGGGAGGTGTTGGTCCTACACTGGCAGAAAAGCTGCTGTGGGCGTAGACTGTGTCTGTACTGGGGCTGTGCCAGCGTAGAGGTTCTTGTTGTGTCTATGCCACGGGGGTGGCTCGCGTGTTGGTTGGGCTTAGGGGTTTTTCACACCCTAATGGACATGGCTAGACTGATCTCTTGTAAGTGTAAACCAAGCTGCTTTGGGCCAGTAGAACCTCAGAGCTCTAGACTCCAGAGTTACGAACTGACCAGTCAACCACACACCTAATTTGGAACTGGAAGTACACAATCAAGCAGCAGAGATATGGGGAGGGGGAGAGGAAGCAAATACTGTATAGTACAGTACTGTTAAATGTAAAATACTAAAAAAATTAAGGGAAAGCCTAATTTTTTTTGACAAAGGAAGGAAACTGTTTCTGTACTGCTTTCATTTACATTAAGATGGTTAAAAGCAGCATTTTTCTTTTGCATAAACAGTTTCAAAGCTGTATTAAGTCAGTGTTCAGTTGTAAACTTTTGAAGGAACAATCATAACATTTCAGATTTGTGAACAGCCTCCATTCCCACAGTGCTCATAACTCTGAGGTGCTACTGTTATTACGTGCCTTGCGGTTTCTTAACAAAGAGCTTTTAAAGGCTCAAAATCTAGGAAGCTGGCATTGTGGTTTGGCTTGGCTCGGCTCTTTGAGTCATTAGTGTGCAGCTGGTGGAGTCTGGCTGGAGGGGAGACAATTACAGCAGCTAGGATGTCACTCAGCTCTGTTCTTTTCTCAACCCCTTTAGCTGCCCCCAAAGTACATGTGTACTCCCGCCACCCAGCGGAGAATGGCAAGCGGAACATCCTGAACTGCTTTGTGGAGGGGTTCCAGCCTCCAAACATTCAGATCACCTTGCTGAAGAATGATGAGAAGATGGATAACATGGAAATGGACGACCTTTCCTTCAGAGAAGACTGGAGTTTCCAGCGCCTGGTGCATGTCCCATTCACTCCTAATGGGAAAGATACATATGTATGCAGAGTGGAGCATATCACCCTTGAAAGTCCCAAGAACGTCAAATGGGGTGAGTATTTCGCTACTTCCATTTTGTTCACTTCATCCCTCAGCAATTGTAGACTGGATTTGGATTCTGTTGCTATTGAGATCCTGCACTCTGCCAGAGAATGCAGCTTGTCTGCTTAGTCACAAGTCCAGTGTCTTTTTTTTTTTTTTCCTTTTAAGCGTAATATAATAGGGTGAGTTCCTGATGTCATGTTTCTAGACACCTTTTGGCCTTTTCCTAGGCTCCAGTGAAATAAACTGTCTCTAACTGCCAAAGGGAACATAGAATCATAGAATGTCAGGGTTGGAAGGGACCTCGGGAGGTCATCTAGTCCAACCCCCTGCTCAAAGCAGGAACAATCCCCAACTAAACTAAATCCCCATGAAAATTAATACACTGCATTGGAACATCTGATAGTAATGGAAAGAGGGAGAAACTAATTTCTGGAATATTGGACATGCTGTAGATCAGGTCAGGCTATATCTACACTGCAGACCTTACAGCGGCACAGCTGTACCGCTACAGCCATGCTACTGTAAGGTCTCCCATGTAGCCACTCTTTGCTGGCAGGAGAGAGCTCTCCTGCTGGCATAATTAAGCTATCCCCAACAAGCGGTGTTAGCTATGTTGGCAGGAGAGCCTCTCCTGCTGACAATAGCACTGTCTGCACCAGCACTTTTGTTGGTAAAACTTAAGTTGGTCCAGGGGTGTTCTTTTCACACCGCTCATCGGCAAAAATGTTGGCGTAGACATAGCCTCAGTTAGGAGAGCTCTGGGGAAGGTATGCACAACCCTGCCTGCCCACTCGGTACCTGGCTTGAATGTTATCATAGTGTCTTAATGGTATCTTAATCCCTTATGCTCATCTCGAAATAAAAATTACCTGAACAGATATGTCAGATGTAACTTTTATATAACTTGCCTGTTGAAAAAGGGTAAGTGAGAAGATAAAAAGATGTATTTTATTAAAAGAACAGTTTTTGTCAGAGAAACCATTTTCAACCCCAGCCTGGTCTCTTACTTTGCTCCGCAGGCTTTTCTCTGTGTCTCTCTTTTTTTTTTTTTTTTTTGATACATAATCACCAACAATAAAAGATCCAGGACTTTGAATTTGTCTGGCATCACAAGCATGACAGGGTGGAACGGAATCCAGTTGACTTCTGCTTGCTGGGAGGAGGAAACCCAATTAGTTTTGGTAAACTAAGCAAAGATGCTTAGGACAACTGGCAAGAGGATGAGGGGTGTGGTGTCCGTTTCTTTTCTGGCCCAGTCCATAGTCCCGTAGCATGAGCAGTGGTGGCTTATCACAGGGCATCTGTTTGGCTGCTAGAGTGATAGAACTCTCCTAGCTCTGCATTAGAATTGTTGTGATGGATGAGAGGGTTATTTGTGCAGCACAGCCATGTCTTGGAAGTGAAGTCTAACATCCTGTTGTCCTCTTTTTTTGCAGATGCAGATAATTAACCTGCATCTTAGACACATATGGTAAGTTATGGATATTTCATTTCTTGCTGTCAAAGTGAATTTGGTGCTAGACTGATCCTTAGGTTGAAGCCCAGGGGAAGGAAGCAAAATGTCTGCCATGTTGAGGCAGAAAGCCAGAGAGAAGATGAACAGGCAGCTCTGTCTCTAGCTTATTAGTTGGTATGTGTGTCGCCTGAAATTGTTCCACTGGTAACAATATTGTCTACTTATGGAGACTCCACTTGCTTGTCCAAGGATTAGAGAGCAGCCTTTTAAGCAAAATATATTTTTGTAAAGCTTATGACTTCACTTGGCACCTGGAAAGAAGGGTTCTTTATATGTCACAGGGTCTGCTAGTCACCAGACCCCATGGTATTTTCTCTTGATGGGTGGGAAGAGGTGGATTTGGCAGTCCTTGCTTATGATCTAGGTATATCTCCGAGGAGGGCTGGCTAATATTGCATTAAAGTTAGAGGGACAGTAGTCACTATAAGGCATCATTTGTGGCCTGGGGGAGTGGGCACGGGGCAGTCTCTTGCCAGGCAGTGCTGGAGCAGCTTTGGGTTGGTGAATTATAACAAAGGGCTTAATGTGCAGCACCAGCAAATGCAGCACACCAAGTGTGAACAAGTAAGAGGTAAAGTTTCAAGTCCAGTGCCTTAAACTATCTGAGAAGCTTGGGCATGTAATAGAACAACACTTTGGAGGTGCAGCTGCTCTTAGAATGTGTGACGTCCAGAACCTGTTAGGGTTTATACGAGTTCAGGGGTCGGCAACCTTTCAGAAGTGGTGTGCTGAGTCTTCATTTATTCACTTTAATTTAAGGTTTTGCGTGCCAGAAATACTTTTTAACGTTTTTAGAGGGTCTCTCTCTGTAAGTCTATATATTATATAACTAAACTATTGTCGTATGTAAGGCAAACAAGGTTTTCAAAATGTTTAAGAAGCGTCATTTAAAATTAAATTAAAATGCTGATCTTACACCACTGGCCCGCTCAGCCCGCTGCCGGCCTGGGGTTCCGTTCGCCTAGGCTGGCAGCAGGCTGAGCGGGGCCTGTGGGCAGCACCCTGGTTGGCAAGGGGCCGGCAGCCAGAATCCCAGATCGGCAGCAGGCTGAGCGCGGCTGGCGGCCGGGACCCCAGACCAGCAGTGGGCTGAGCGGCTTAGCCCACTGCCACTCAACTCGCTGCCCGTCTGGGGTTCCGTCCGCTGGCTCCTGCCAGCCAGGATCCCAGCTGCCGGCCCCGCTCAGCCTGCTGCCAGTCTGGGATCCCGGCCCTGCCCTGCCCACATAGAGTAGGTACCTACCTTCTCCCTGGTCTAGCACACTCTCTGCACTGAGATGAGTGTGGGAGTGTGCTGAGAACAGGGTTGGGGTGTAGGGTCTGGCCAGGAAATAGAATGAGGGAGGGGGCATAGGGTTGGGGCAGGAGGCTTAGGTGTGAAGTGCTTTACCTGGGCAGTTCCCATTTGGTGCGAGGGGTGCAGGTGGGAATGTGGGGCAAGGGGTGTAGGAGCTCCTGTTTGGTGCAGAGGGTGGAGGTGGGAATGTGGGGGGTGCAAGAGTCAGGGCAGGGGGTGTATGAGGAGGTTGCAGGAGTCAGGCCAGAGGGCTGGGGCGGCTGGGTATGTGTGGGGGTGCTAGAGTCAGGGCTGGGGTCGTGGGGAGGTGTAGGGGTCAGGGCAGAGGGCTGGGGTGTGTGTGGTAGGGTCGTGGGGGTGCTCCCAGCCCCCTGCCCAGAGTGGCTCACGGCAGGGGGCTGGAGGGGATATGCCCTGATTCTACCCCCCTTCCCCAAGGCCCCGTGCCCACCTCTTCTCCCCCTCCCTCACAAGGGCCATCAGCTAATCTGCAGCAGGGAGGGAGAGGAAGGAGGAGGGGCAGGAACCCAGCACGGTGCGGGAAGAGGCAGGGGAGGGGGGACCTTGCCTGCCCTGCAGCAGCAGCTGGCAGGACCAAGCTTCTTCACCCTGTCCCTGTGGGGGGGCGGAGAAGAGCAGGGCTGGCGGCTGGGTCCCGGCAGGCCACAGCGTGCCATTATAAATCTGCTCCCATGCCGTCTTTGGCACATGTGCCATAGGTTGCCGACCCCTGTATTAGTTGTTTGCAGCTGGGATCTCTGAGCCAGGTTCTCCATTTCAGATTGCTTATTCTTTATAGTAATATAAGCTTTATTAATAAAACACAATCTTCTTTTTTTTTTTTTTCCCCAGCTTTTCAGGTCTGAAGAACTTCTGCCTTGCAATCTGAAATCAGCTTAAACCCTAACCCATTTTCCTCTGTGCTCTTCACACCCCTCACTTATTTTGTGTTGGAGCTGAATATATAGCTTTAAACTGATGCTAAATAATTTGTTTGGGGGTGGGATGTTGGATGTGGGGGTGGTCTTTTGAAATTAAAAACTTGCTAGTGTGAAATGTTAGATTTGAGCCTGGGGCCCTCATCTGTGTATGACAGTGTGACATTAGAGCTGGCCTCACACCAAAATTATCAATGCTCTGTCTGCTTAGGTGGAAAACTTGGGTAATCTGGTGGTGGACATGTTTATAGAATCATTATAGATCTTATGCAAAGATAAGCCAAACTTATATTGGTCAGTCTGGCAGGTGTGCTACTGCTATTTAAACTGGCACTTGTAAAGTAAATCCTAAACATGTCTCAGGGTCTTTTAAGACCCATGGATCCTTCTTCTAATCCAGCCATGCTGTGCTCATGGTATTGAGAGAGAGAATTTGCACTGCAAATTTGGAAGATTTTTGTCTTTCCAGTAGCTCCAGAACATAAGAGCTATAACAAGGTCCCAGTACAGCAGGGATGGGGACAGCATTGAGGGCTACCAGGGCCTGAGTGCAACACATGTTGCCAAGCCCTTTGGGGTGAGCAATAGTAGAGCTTTTAAGAACAACTCTTGGCTACAGCATTTCTTACTATAAATGCCAATCAATTAAAATAATCAGTTAAAGCAATAAATCCATGTGTGCAAGTCTGTTAAACATTTTTGGACAATCTGTATGGATCTGTTTTACTAATTAAAAGGAGAGTGTAACACTTTGTATGGTTCTTAATTGTACAGAATGACGTTTTGTCTTAAATATATCTTTAAAAAAAAACAAAACCCTGTGGAAGTTGTGATTTCTTAAGTTGAAGAGAGGACATTTCTTGCCTTGCATTGGGTTCATCAAGGCATGCGATATGTCTCTCAATGAATTAGTCTCCTTGCTGTAAGAGCCGCTGCTCAAATCTTTTGTTTTCCACTTTCTGATAAAAGTAAAAAGAGATTGTGTTCCTGATCCATATGATCATTGACTTCTCAGCTTTGTCTTCAAGTCCTGCACAGCTCTGCTCCCAACAATCCTTTGCTTTGTCCTGACACACTTCCCCTTCTCCCCCTCTTTTTGCCTCTACTGCCCCTTGTGACAGACATGGCCAGTTCACACCATTGAATTTAGTACATTTGGAGTCAATTGTATTCAATGCAAATGTTCTGTATTATTGTGGGCCTGGATGATTAATGAACTATATTGAAAATTGTAGTAGACAAGAATGGTCTTTTGAGGTCAATATGTGTGAAATGGAACTCCTAGGAGGTGAATGCAAATATCATCTAAAAGTTGGGCTTCAAAAAAAAAACTAGCGCAAGATACACCCTGAGGAGGGGGCACCATTGTCCACTGACTATCTGATCCTGAAGGCTGGCGATCAAAGGCCCAAGTTGTGTAAAGAAACAGGGTGATCTGTGCCATCTGGGTTCTTTTTCATAACAGCCTCAGCTCAGGAGGACTGACTCCAACCACAGTACCTGTGGGGGGTGATCTCTGGTAAGTTTTATTAGCATGCATGTAGGTTCTTTTATTGTTTTAGCATATTTTCTGTAGTGCGTTTACTTTAAGAATAAATGCTTGCTTAGAATCAGCTGTGTGGTAACTGGGTACTTTTGCTATTTTATCACCTCTGAAGAGAGAGCAAAAGCACAAATACCAATCTGTTATGCCCAACAAGCCAGACTGCTTAACTGTGTAGACACAGAACTGTGCAGTCTGGAAAAACCCTGGTTAGGAGGGGAAGAGGTACGGGTCTCTATCTACGAGCGGTGATGGGGTCTGGCTCCTTAGCCTAGACTGGGAGCCTGTGCTGGGCCATGGAAGGAAATACAGGTGCAGTTTCCAGTCCCTGTCCTTGCACAAACTCCTATAAGACATCCTCATGACCATGCTTCTGTTTTGAGTCAATTGAATGATGATCCTTGTTTCAGAGTAGCAGCCGTGTTGGTCTGTATCATCAAAAAGAACAGGAGTACTTGTGGCACCTTAGAGACTAACAAATTTATTTGAGCATAAGCTTTCGTGGGCTACAGCCCACTTCATCAGATGAAGTACTCCTGTTCTTTTTGATGATCCTTGTGTTTCTGGAACACCCAGCTTCGCTATAGGGTGGGGCAGAGCTATGGGAAGAAGACCAGCTCAGTGAAATTGAGACATTGTCAATAAGGGTGGTCTTCAGACAACTTTTCAGAAGGATTTTGAGTGAGTCCGTTCTTCAATGTCCATCAGGAAAGAGAAGACTTGTTCTTTGAAGACAAATTAAACAAATACGTGGTGAGTTACTTAAGGAGGTCTGATTGTTGAGGCTGCCCGAAATACTGCCAGAACAATACAAATGCCCCACCAATGGCTCTGAGAAGGTGTAACATTCAAACAGACTAGCAGATACCTACTTTAAATAAAGCTGTTGCCAGGTGTCAGGAGGGAAAACCACCATGTAGTTCAGCTGCTTTGAATTTCTTGTAGGCTTTTCATTCCTGGCTCTTAGAGCCTTGCTGGGAGAATAATACAACTCCCTTAACATTTAACTTAAAAAAAAAAAAATCTGAAAATGGCCTAAAGCCTTCATGCATAAACTTATAGGTTACACTAAGGTCTGTACTGTTTTGTTCTTTCAAAACAGTAAAATAAGATTTAAGCAGGTGGGAAAGAAACAAATTGAAACTTGAGAAATTCATCAGTTTCTCTAGATTTTATTCAAGTGAACAATCCACTTTATGCAACTGTGTTTTTGCTTTAGGATAACTTAAAGAACACAGCATATATGCAAACTTACGCTTTCTCACAAGTGTAGTTGTGCTGTGTTATAGAAAGGCAGGCTGGTCGAGGCCTGGTGAGTCCATTCTACCATGGACGGAGAGCCAGGGTTCCTTTCTCCTACAAACAACTGTCAACACAAAAGCCAGGCTAGTATCCAGTTTTGTGGTGGTCCTCAGTGTTCAGGTATGTCAAGAAACAAGATTCTGGAAGGAATGGCACCAAAAACAGAGTTTCTAGCCCCACCAGAAGTTGTTTGGCTTGATGGAGAAATTACTGGATGAAATCCTATACCTGTTGTGATCATAATGGCCCCTGCTGGCCTTATTTTCTTGAAAAAGCCAATATTTTCTTTGTGTAACAAAGAGCAAGTGCCTAATAAGGAACTAATATGGGGCAGGGACAGAGCCCAGGATGCAGGGTACCCTAGTGACTGCAGTGTGTTCCATGTGATCTGATGGCATGACTCTAACAAGCTTGTTGAGGCAGAACAAGCATGCATGAAAGACATTACGGAATTCCATCCCTCTGCTTTGAAAGGATGTGACCACTTTTTCCCATTTAATCATGAAATTATTTTTAACAGGCAAGGAAGACAGACATTGTGCAAAGTAATCTCCTCCCATTTAAGGTTTTGTACTTGAAGACAGCATTTGCTCAAAGAGGCTCTCTAATTATGGAAATTTTAACCTCAGGCTGGGTAAGAGAACTTTTTCTGAAAACACAGGAATAAAGAAAAGTCTGGTATATTCCAGTTGAGCTGATGCTCTGTAAGAGACAGGAATTATCTGTATTTTAAAACCAAGAAAAGTGTATCAAATTAAACTCCATTCTATTTTTCCAATCCCCTAAATTAGCAAGTGAGTATAAATGTATTAGGTTTCCAATCACTTTCCTGCATTCTTGCACATTAGCAGAGGGTGGCAATGTTTGGGAAGCAAACATGGGAGGGAAATGTTAGGTCTTTAACAATAAATTGTATCCTTTGAAAGTTCTAAGCAAAAAATCCACTGGAGTGTTTCTATTGATGTGTGAGGCTTTGCAAAAGTTTGTTTTCACAGCAGCTACGTTTGGGTCTAAATTGATCTGAAAGTTCACCTTTAATTACTGAATGGGCGAGTAACACTTCTATTATTTATTTATTTATTTATTTATTATGTAAGCATGAATATGTTAAAAGAAAAGGAGTACTTGTAGCACCTTAGAGCCTAACAAATTTATTTGAGCATAAGCTTTTGTGAGCTACAGCTCGCTTCATTGGATGCATGTGGTAGAAAATACCATGGGGAGATTTTATATACACAGAGAACATGAAACAATGGGTGTTACCATATATACTGTAACACAGCTGCTACTCTGAAATATGAATGTTATTACTACTGCCCATCTCTCTAGCTATAACCTTCCTCCCCAGGTTTCTGTGACCTCATAGACTCACCAAACAGCTAATGTTCGCACAGTACTTTTAGATATTTAAGATTGTAGAAATACTGAGCATTATATTAATTCCTGTCATTAGGAAAACACTATCTACTCATATGCTTCCCACTGACTAGCAGACTTTCCAATAGTTGTCCCAGGTTTAGCAGAACTGTCCTGTTTTGACACCCCCCCAACCCTTTGTCCTGGTTAAAGTGGCTCCTGCCCTACAGGCCTTGGCTCTCTGCTCCAGGTATTGCACAGTGCCCCTTGTCACACAGGCTCACAGTGATGGTCAGGTTTAGCCTGGCCTGCTGACTGTGTGTGTGCGTGCCCAAGCTAAATTTGAGTGAGTAGCATTGTGACCTGGTACAGGGGGTCAGGGGTCCAGGTCAAACCTGAGCAGTGCTGTGCACTTGGGCCAGGTCATAATACCCAGGGTGAGGAGCTGAGCCCTGCCAACCCCACAGGATAGGAGCCCAGGAGTTGCTGCTGAGGGGTGAGTGGGGGGCAAGCTCACTCTGTAACTTCCCTCCACCTCCACACCCCTCCCTGGGGATAGGACCCATTCCAGAGTAACCACTTGAAATGTTGGGCAGTGTGGACTAGGGCGTAGAGTTGCCACATCTTGGATACAAAAACCCAGGACATCCAAACCATTTCATCCAGGATAGCTACCTTGGCCAAGGGGCCATCCTAGGAAAACCTGGGTGAGTCCTGTTTTCTAGAACCTTTCCCTCCATGGGAGGGAACAGAGTAACTGCCATTCTGCCTCTCGCTAACTGCCGTCCTCTCTCAGAAACCTCCCTTGCACTCCACGCACCCCTCCGAACACCGCCAGTCTGCTTCAAAGCCACGAACTCCTCAGCTCTCCCAGTGCCTGCCTGCTGCGGCCACCCTTTCCCAGCATCTGTCCCTGGGGAACTACCTGCCCCTCACCGCACGCCCACCCTCTTCCAGAACCTTGCCTGTGCCATTTTCCTGTGGTATTGCTTGCTAAGGGCCCTGCTCGGCCAGACCCCGTGACTTAACAGCTGCTTCATTTGCAGGTCTGCCAAGTCCTCCACGTGGGCCTAGTCCAGAGCTCACCGAGTGCCATCTTCTGAGGGTAAAACTCTTCCCTAGATTTGCTGGGCATGGTCTCTAGGATTTGTTGAGGCCAATCACCTTGGGGTAAATCTCCCACACAGACATAGAGGCCTAGACTCTGGGGCTCATGGAGATCCATCACCTTGCTGAGGGGTGTGTGGGGGAGCCTGTGTGCACTATATCTGGGTGGGGAGGGGGTGTCTCCTGTGGAATAGCTGGATGTGGGGGGTAGGCTGAGTACCCTGAGGTGTCTCTGGATGGGATGATAGGTGAACCCTAGACTGGGGAGTCTCTTCAGCAGAGCTGCTGACTTTTCAGACTGCCTGAGGCTTCCTCCAGCCTTTAGGCCCTTCACACCCCTCCCCTTCAGCTCTGCTGCTGTTCCCTGCAGCTCTGTGCCTGGTGTGCCACTGCGAGTGAGGTGTTATGCACACAGCCTGGCCTGGGAGAGAGCAGAGAGGAGCTGCCCTGAGTCTGCCTTCCCCTTCACTCTGGGACCACAGAGCCATGGTGCAGGCTGCCAGCAGAC